CAAACATTTTTTCCAAAAAAAAAAGAAAAAAAGAAAAAGCATGTTTAAGACTCTTAGCTTAGACGCGATACTTTGTAATTAAAAGTTAAGTTTCGTGCCTTCTGTATCAATTAAACGCAACCGCAATGTATTATTTAATCAGACTAATGCGTGGTTAACTTTTAAAAATTACAGAATGTATTTAAACCTAAATCTATCGCATAATGTTGCAATTAAGTTTCGAATTTTCATCACTCATATCTTATATGTATAAGGTATATTTGTTTGCCACTTATTTATGTATATCGGATACGCGCTTATTAATGTCAACTTTACATTATTAGTAGAAATTTATTAAGCGATCCTCTGAAAGCTATAGTACATACCAATAATGATAGCAAATTTCATGTGTTTGGTACTAAGCTTAACCAACTTCGACCTTCACCGCCCACTGATGTTGGAAACCGAATTTGAACTAACCGAACCGCGTTCTTGTCGTCTACTACTTCTTTGTACTCTGAGCTAGCTGGTACAACTATTGTTTCACCGTCCTCAGTTTCATTATAAGTATACACTTCTTCCACGTGTTCCGTCTCCTCGACTTTACACTCCATCTCCTCGGGTTCAGTAAAGGTCATCTAAATATTATACAAATTCAACAGTTAATTATTAATGTGGAAGGCAAAAATTGAAATCGGAGTTGAAATGGAGTTGAAATCGAGTGATAGAAAAATAGGCAAGGCGCTAGCTTTAATTTAGATATAGTTTAGTCATAAGGCAAGTAGTATAAAATTAGGTTAAATTAGAAGTAAATTTAAGATTACAAACATAATTTGCACGTCACTAAAATTTCCACCGCATCTCCACTTACCCTCCTGATGTCACATTAATGCATTATTAATAGTAATTAAGACTACGTACCTCTCCATCAACGAGATGACTCACTTCTTCGTCTACGGTTTCTTCCGCTGGGATATTTAATACATCTTCTTCGTTATATATCTGGTCTTCATTTTGTTCTTGTATAATTACATGATCTTTTAATTCAGTTACGTACAATTCAGTTTCCTCCAACTAAATAAAAATATGAATATATTGGTTTCTTATAATATACACGAGAAGAAATACTCTTAATTACCTGATCGTTTTCTGCTTCGTCCATTAGAAGTTCCACGTTACCGTCAGGAAGCGCCATGACTTGATCTTCTTCTGTAGTAAGCCGGGGTTGATTAACTACAATAGTATCATTCAAATGACCCTGGAACACATACAATGAATTAAGTATCACTGATTGAATATAATATTCATTATCTTAGAGGAAGATATTAACTCACTTGAGTTTGCATGTGAGCGTATAACAATGGTTTTCTCATGAAACCCATACCGCATACTAAACATTCATATGGTTTTTTATCGCTGTGTATGAATCGATGCGCATTCCGATTGTCTCTGCTATTAAATGCTTTACCACAAACCTACAATTTTATAACGCTATAAGTGAAGAAAACTGAAGAATGACAGTTTTATGCAGTTCAATCATTTTACCTCACACAAATACGGTTTCTCTCCGGTATGTATGCGCATATGCTTTTTGAAATGTTCGGGATAAACGAACGTCGCTGAACATTCATCGCATTTATATGGCCTTTCGCCAGTATGAGCTGCTTTTATATGATAATCCAACAGCCTTCGTCGTTTAAATCCTTTCCCGCAATCGTCACATTTATACCGTTTATCATTGTAATGCGTTGCGCGTTTATGCGATTGTAAGTTTGATCTTTGACTAAATTAAAAAAATAAAATTTATTATTCTTATATTTTATAATAAATAGATACAAGATAAACATACCTAAATGTGGCTCCACAAAATTCACACTGATATGGTTTCTCTCCAGTGTGCGTCCTCTCATGATCTCTTATTTCAGCTTTGCGTGCAAAAGCTTTACCGCATACCCTACATATGTACGGTTTGTAGCCTGTATGCACTATATTGTGAACTTCCAGATTGTGCGGTGAACCAAATGCTTTTCCTGTAAATTTAATCCTTTAAATAAAACTTCTCAATATACATAAAAATTTGTCAATTGATAAATCGTACCGCACTGATGACAAACATATTCCTTCACGCCATTATGAGTTCTTTCGTGTTGATTAAGATTTTGTTGACTCAAGAATGTTTTATTACACTGGGAACACTCGTATGGACGAGGTCGTACTTCGTGTGTTTTTACATGTGCTTTATATGTATATTTTGAAGCAAAATCTTTTCCACAGTTCTCGCACGCGTACGGGCGAACACCTGTATGGGTATTGATATGTTCCTCCAATAAATTCCTGGAACTGTAAAAAAGATTAATCGTACAATACGGTATTATTAAATAATTTATACAATTGTCTTATACACACCTATATCGTTTACCGCACGTTTCACATGGCCATGATTTCACTTGGGGATAATGTATCCGTTTATGAATTCTGAACAACCGCAAATTACTAAATATTCTGTTACATATCTCACACTGAAAATCTCCCTCCTCCCTTGCAACGTGATCATCAAGGTGAACAGATAGTTCGTTTCTTTTTTTAAAATCATCCCCGCATATGTCGCAAATGTATAAACGGGTTTCGTGTACACTTTTCATGTGTGCGATAATTGATTTTGCGTCTCCTACAGCTTTATCATCTTCGTTTGTACATAATAAACAGGTATATATTGAACCATCCCTGGTCACCAGCTAAACGCAAATGAATAATTAAAAATATTTGCAATCACCATTTATAGATTTAATTAAAAGTTACTTACCTGTTCTTGAGGAATTTCAACTTTTGTTGAAACTTTTGACCTCTTTATCCTCTTTCTTTCTTCATTATTACTTGTTTCAGCTACTTGTTCAACTTTAAGAATAATTTCAGCTGGTTCACAGGTAGGATCTTCTTCTTCTTCTTCTTCTAATCTTTCTATTTCACCCTCAGACTCCTGCATTTCTTCTTCATCCTTTAAATATACATTTTAATATTGTAGTAATGTAAAAAGTATTTTAGATTATTTGTTCAATTAGATTTTGTTAATTACCCTTTGTGCATATTTCATTTCTACATCTGTGCCCTGACTTTCTGTATTTTCTGTATTTTCTATATTTTCTATATAATCATGATCATTGTACTCTTCTTCATTTTGAATATCAGATATCTTTTTCATAGTCTTCTTATAATTATTAAAAAGTTCTACTTTTACCTCTGTCAATCGGTTTTCAAGTTCATCAACCTATAGACCCTTTAATTAGTTTCGTGTAATTATTGGTAATATAACAATTGATATTTCATTTACCTCATTGAATAATTTATAACATTTTTTACATATAACAAGAGAATGAACATTCTCCTCATTTAAATCTGTCTCCAAAACAGTACATATTGTATCTATAAGTGGTTTCTCTGATGACGTTACAGAGTTTTCATTAAAAATACGTATACTATTCCTAGTAGATACACCGACTTTACTATTGCATATTAAGCAATGAATAATATCTTTCTCTGAATCAGCCGTCATCTTTTTGGCAACTGGAAAAATAGTACAGGTATTAAAATATTTATCTAAGTCTTTCATATAATAAATAATGAATCCAGTACATAGAAAGTATACTGAAACAGTTCTGATACTGAATTCCAGAATTACACTGATGATTTTCTTTAAATTAACATCTAAAATGTGAATCAATTTATGAGTAAATGATAACACTAAAAAGTCGAAAGAACATGTTAAACAGAGCATGAAATAAATTGCATTCTTAAGCTATATAAAACGAATAATATCAATACTTTGCATGTTGAGGAAAACTTTTTGATTTTCATGGCTAAGTTACGCGAACAGGGCTAGGATCTGTTCAAATCATATTTTCATAATGGTCTTCTTATGTAACAGCACACGATGTGCACTGAAAACAAGAAAACATCCATCGACATTGTATCTCGTCGAACAATAACGTATCCGACGATTCATTGTAGAAACGAAAGAACAATAAATAACGTGGCTAAACGTCCAACGGGACCGTTTGTTGTAACGTGCAACGAAGCAGTTCGTTATTTGACCACATCGATAAGTAACCGCTAAAATCCAATAACCCTAACAATAACTTGCCAGAAACGGTAAACAAAATATTTGCCTGCGTTCCTCGTCAAAATGAAGCCTTATAATAAACGTAAAAAGTTGCCAGCACTGACTTGAAATTTTCGTTTCTCTGTTCGAACGATTGGTAGCGAGCGAAACGGCAGACGGGTCCGGATGCCAACGCCATTTAGGTCTTCATGACAGGTAGGGATGTTGATTGCGACGAAACTACAACGAAAAATATCCGCCAAAACGGTTGCCACTTTTTCGAACGTGCAACGACAATTTTATGTCACCTTCGTGTTAGGTGGAGACACGCTATTGCGTATGCACGCGACGAATGCCCTCTATCGGATTTTTTCTACGGAGCCATATTTTACAGAATTTCATTCTTCCATATCAAATAAACTTCAAAATATCTTAAGACCAAAGTTATTATTAATGTAAGGGTTTATAGAAGTTATTGTATACACACACTTAAGTCATAAAGGGTGTTTAATCATTTATTAAAAGAAAATGTTTACAGAACATTATTTTTCATTCTTTTATTGTTTAGTACAACTGGCATTCCGCCAACAGGGGGACATTAGCGCCATCTGTTAATAGACAGTGGAAACGACTCGCCAGTTTACCGACCGATTTCCCAAGACTATGGGCAAAACTTCGGAGGCCTACGGGGTCCCTGACACCCCGGATGCCATCATGTCGGTGTGTAGAGTTACCCGCATGCTTCGGGGTCCTTAACACCCCAAGGCGATGTTATGTCGGTATGTAGTTACCGGCGCTCCGGGGTCCCTGACACCCCAAGGCGATATTACGGCGGTATGCAGTTACCGGCGCTTCGGGGTCTCTGACACCCCAGATGCCATCATGTCGGTATGTAGAGTTACCCATGCTTCGGGGTCCCTAACACCCCAAGGCGATGTTATGTCGGTATACAGTTACAGGCGCTTCGGGGTCCGTGACACCCCGGATGCCATAATGTCCGCATGCAGAGAGTGTTGCCCATGCTTAGGGGTCCCTAACACCCCAAGGCAATATTATGTCGCTATACAGTTACCGGCCCTTCGGGGTCCCTGACACCCCGGATGCCATAATGTCCGCATGCAGAGAGTGTTGCCCGTGCTTAGGGGTCCCTAACATCCCAAGGCGATGTTATGTCGGTATGCAGAGAGCGTCACCTGTGCCTCGGGGTCCCTAACACCCCAAAACGATATTATGTCGGTATGCAGTTACCGGCGCTTTGGGGTCCTTAACATCCCAATATGCTATCAGGTCGGTATGCAAAGAGAATCCCATCTCTGTCGAAACTTGGTTTTTGCAAACTATAGTATGTTTATAATTGTTGTTGACGTTCCTTAATGACAATAACATCTTTTTAAATTTAGGATGTCATCCGAAACACCACACGTAATATTCAACACTTATATGACTATATAATTAAGAAATTATAAAAAGGATGAGAAATTTATTCAGTTCAAGCTATAAATTATATGATCAATCCCTAACCTACTTTTGTTATTGTTTACTCTATTTTTAGCTTAAAAATGATCTTTTAAGCCTCAAACAGAATTTTGAAACAATATTTAAATATACTAAACTTGAAATATGTGTTTTAGATGTGTGATACCCTCAGAATTCTTCATTTACCATCAGAACTTTCTAATGACAGACGTAATGAGTTACTTCAAAAATATGGAGCTGTTAAAACACGAACCTTAAGACCTTCTAAGAAGTACACTGTAACTTTTGCAAAATTCAAATCACAACAAGCAGCTACAGAAGCATTGTTACGTTTACATCAATTAAATGTAAGGGGGCAATATATAACAGTTGAGTTTGCTAAGAAATCTATATCAGTAGAGAATTCAGAGCAAAATGTTGATAATAACAAACTTATAAATGAGGAAAATAAGAAGGAATCTATAAGCAAATCTAACTTTCAAGCTTTTTTACAAAAATTAAACAGTTGGACTATGAATCAAGTCTTTACTCAACCACCTCCACCAAATATACAATATAAATATTCAACACCAACCAGAAGTACTTTAGCAAGAATAGCCATACAGTTATTGAAAGAACCAGCTTTTTACACACAGGTAAATTAATGAAATACAATTTAATATGAAATGTTTACAGTCAATGTAATAGAATGTAGTTTTATAGGTTTTACACTTAATGAACAGAATGAATTTACCACCTCCCTTTGAAGAACTGGAAGCAGAATTTCCAGCATTGAAAGAAGTTTATGACATGGAAAAATATAAAGATATATTTGGTAAAGAAATTCTATATGATAAAGAGAATCAAGGTAATAAAATTATAGTTTCTTTACCTATGTTTCTTATTTATTAATCCATAATATAAAATAGGTATGTATGATGAAGAAGTAGAAGAGGATGAATCTGAAATGGAATCTAATGAAGAAGATAACACAAAACCTTTAGAAATTATTCCTGTTAAAAGAAAACGTATGCAATCGAGTAAACGACTAAAAATTCCGAAATTTGTTAATCCTGCTAAACAAGTTATACCCCAAAGTTCCACACAAAAGGTTGTAAAACCAGAAGATATGTTTGAACCAGTACAACGCGGAGAAACAAAGAATCTTAAAATTGAATTAAAAACCGTGGATAAATTATTAGATTCTTCAAATAAGGAAGAGAATCCTGTTCCTGAAAATACAACAGATAGTGGTTTTGGGTTAATGTTCCCAGCTTCCAAAGATCTCGAAACGATTGAAACTAATGAAAATACTGAATACGTTCAGCGAGAAATAATTACATCTGAAGAATTAGCAAATAATAGAATATCAACTAATGGTAAAAATGGTTCTTTAGTCTATAGTGTTCGATTGTTTTATCGTAACATTTTTTTTTTTACATTTACATTACAGATCAAAGGTTACTTCCTGTATTTAAAAATTATCATCCTGGCAAGCCATCAAATCGACTGTACATAAAGAATCTTGCAAAACAAATAGAAGAGAAGGATCTTCATTTCATTTACCGAAAATATGTGATACCTGACCTAAAAACAGACTATGAGTATGATTTAAAGATAAAACGATAATTCATTTTAATTGTAATGTACTTGATTAATAATATATTTTATTTTAGATACGACGTGCGTCTTATGCAAGAGGGTAGAATGAAGGGACAAGCATTTGTTACGCTACAGAGTATAGAACAGGCACAATTAGCGCTTGATGAGACCAATGGTTATATTTTAAAGGATAAACCAATGGTTGTACAGTTTGCTAAAGCCGCAAAAAGTTAACAAAACTAATATCTTTTTATTTATATGTATTATTTTAGGTAACGGTACTTTTAATAAAAAAAAGCATTAATTACATTTTTCTACTAATTTTATTTTATACGTTTCATTTCTAATCCGAGATAATATGATATATTAACTGTGATTCCTTTTGTTATCATTGTAATCATATTTGCATATAGTTGTAACGTGGATCTTAAGATCGATGCGGTGAAACTGTAAAGTAAGTTACTCTCCATACAGTAGAATAAAAGATTGCATGATAAATTAATTCCTTATTATTGAATAAATCTTAATTATTAATTTTACGAGCTGATCTTGGACTCCAAGAATTCTTTATTTATAAGTTAATAGTTTTCGATCCGTAGAATCCAAAAATATAAGTCGTAGCTTTAGGAAATTAGTGGGTCAAAACTATTAAAGGGCAAAAAGAAGGGCAATAATTTTACGTCCTTGGAATCCAAGTTTAACCATTTTACGATATTTTTAGGTATAAATACATTAGAATACATTAATTTTATTGATATATTGATCTTTGTTAGTGCATAAAATAAAAGCTCGTTTGATTTACTTGGTGGCATGTCATAGCCGCGTCAGCGAAGATCGGCGCCCGCCTGGCATCTAATAATTCGTACACCTTCCACTAGAGTGCCATGTTTTGAGTTCGATACTGTACCGTGTGCGTGAAGCGTCCGGTTCACCGATCACTGTCGAGTTGTAACCGTATCTGTTGTCGTCGTCACTCTATTGCCGTCCCTCATTTCCGTCGTCGGCCTCGCACACGTTGACACGTCCTTTGTATTGCCATGGACGTCAACTTGTTACTTCAGCACTCACAATATGCGTTACCCGTGGGTATCGTCCTCGTATGTGCGATTCTCGTCTTCGTCTTTGGTTTCAAGAAGGCCGAACAACCACCTTTTGCACACCTCTCCGTGGGCTCCGACGTGGACCGGAAATTTGCCAGCAAGAAACGCAGCAAGATCAAAGAAAAGGTTAGCGCGACGATAAGAAAACGATTCGTAAAGTAAATCTTGTTCTTCTCGAATCGATTGTCAATGCGAATACAACAATTTATATATCACCCATTCTCCATATGGTTGCTGATTTGTAGCGAGTCAATGTACACGCACACATGGTTAATAATCAGCTGACATTACTATTCAAAGAGGGTTATTCACCATTGTCTTTCCTGATACGTAGAATGCGATTTAATTATGTACATGATATTTAAAATCATTACTATTGCTTATTCTACATTTTCTTTGTTAATTCCTTAGTTTTTTCTGTCATGGAATGTTCATATTCTTTTGGTGATCTTTAAAGGCATTAGGGTCAATGTAATTTTTGTTGTATTCCTGTAAAATTATTAAAAATCAAAGTTATGATTAAATGCTGTATATGTAAGAAGTTTTTGTAAATTACAGAAATCTGCTAATGGTCAGGCAACAACTGAAAAGGCAAGCCCTGTTAAGAAAACTGTGCCAACAAAAGGAGATGTTCCTAAAAAGGCTACAGTTAAATCAGATGAAACTGATGTGAAGTTGAAGGAACGAAAACAGGATGATAATAAAATTTCTGTAAGTAAGAAAGAGAAAGAACAAGTAGTAGCTAAAGCTGGAAAAGAGAATAAAGTTGAACAAGCAAAGAATAAGAAGAATTTGAAGAACCTGTTCCAAGAGAAACCAGTGGACTTTGATGAGGGTAAGCTTTTATTGAATTGTTCTTAAATGTCTATTAATGTTCCCTTAAATTAATATTGATTTTAAATTTCAATTATAGGAGACTGGGAGCAAGCGTATTCCAGAAAGGACAAAAAGAACAAGAAGAAAGAGGAAGAATCTCCTTCAAAGAAAAGCAAGAAAAACACTAAAAAGGCTGATCTAATTAACGAGGAAGTAGCTAAACAAAAGATTTCAGAAAAAGTAGAAATTAAGGATAAGGTTGCTAAAGAAACTGAGAATAAAGAACTAAAAGAAAAAGATAAGAAAGAAGTAATCCTTACACCTATTTCCAGTGAAGAAACAGTTAAAGAAAAAGAAGATCAGAAGGAAGAAGAGCAAGCTAAGGTATCCTCTGAAGTTCACTTTAATATTGTACACCTTTTTTACATAATATTCTAATAGTTATTGCAATTACTTATTTCAGGTTGAGAAAGTGGAAAAAGAGGAGAAAAAAAGTGGAAAGTCAAAGAAAGGTAAGAAAGTCTCCGAAAGTGAAAACACATCTGTGGTAACTCCATCTACACCAAAGGTGGATAACAAAGTGGAAGAACAAAAAGCAAAAAAGCAGGAAAGCAATGTAGAAAAAGAGTTAGATAATTCTGAAGAAAAAAGTGCTACAGTTGAAACAACAGAAAATACTGGTCCCGTCTTCGACGAACTAGGAGGTAATTATTTCTGTATATTTTAGTAATATCAAATACCTAAATCGAACTATCAGAAACGGTAAAGGTTTCTTTTTTTTCACGCTTATTTTAGATGTCTGGACAGAAGCTAAACCTCAAAAGAAAAGTAAAAAGAAAGCTCGTAAAGATAACTGAGAGTGATTAAATGTATTGAAAATTATGTTCCTTGTGAAGAGGAATAGAGTGAGAATCCTGCTTGGTCCAAACGATATTTATCATTTGGAACTTATCAGGTGTGTTTTAAGTGACTTACCAATCAACCACCTGACCAAATTGTTCCTTCTCCTTGTATATAATGCCAATTGGATTAGGTTGTTCGATCAGTTGTGTTTTATAGATTTTGTGACTGCAGGTGCATAAGTTGATGTGTGGAGAAAAAATCGTCCCAGTGCATTGATTTTTTCGACATACCAATTGTCTGCTTTAAAACAAAGCTGCCTTGCATTTAGCGAAAGAGGCATAAGTCATAATTTTCACTATAAAATAATTATTCTATATACCATATTCTTTTAAGAATCTTCATGTATGTCCATAACGATGCACTAGTATTGTACGACTTACAGCTATAACTATAATATATATATATATTTATAAGATTCTCATATTCAGCATTAATTGTTAACAAATGGTACTTATGTCTTTTACGTTTCATTCAGATATCTTAAAGGGAACGTTCTATTAGATTAGCTCAAATTACCTACTCCCATAACGAACGTGTTTGAATCCACGTTACTAATGCTTTCAACATTCATTTTATTTAACTCATTATTTAATTGTTATACATACGAACGGTTGAAAACCAAAATTTAGAAAGTATGAGATATATCCTAAAACAATAAAGTGCAGGACAATCTCTTACCGGGGAAAAGTTCACGTTACTGATGTACATGCCTTTATCAGTGTACCAAGAGAAATATTTTCTTACACCCGGCAACGAGTAATTTATTCCAACGTATAGATCGGAAATTGAATGCTTTGCGCAAAGTACATCAGTAATAAACTTTAAAGATTGATATGTATTTATAAGAATCTGTAAATCTATAACAAAATTTGTGCCAATTTGTGAAAAGAGATAAAACGAGGTGCGACGAAAGTCATTGTGATGCAATATATATATAATTTGTTTATTCATTGAAAGTTAATTATGTTTTAGATAATTGAATTTTATTATTTGTTTATTTATAAGAGAAATGTATAAATTGTAATTCTTCATATTTCAAAATATTTTTACTAGTGAAACATTTTGTTAAGAGGAAAGTTTTTTTAATCATACCTTGACTTTCGATGTACCTAGTTATTACGTATATTTACAAAGAAAGACATTGTTTTTTGCTAACATTATCAATCTGACTGAAAACATGATTCTAATGAAACTGAACGATTTGAATGATTTCACGAATAAACAGGATCGAATGTAGATCAAACAATTTTTAATTTTTATTGTTAAACAGTGTAATCCAGCCGTTCACATTCTATGCCATGTATAGTAAGTGGATTACATATTAAACGTTATCCCTGAAATGATTTTTTGAAAATGATAATGACGGTTGTTTAATCGTTAATAATACCACTTACCAAGATGCAAGAGTTAAACTCTACAGGAGCATTAATGTCTTAAAAGATAAACAAGATATCTTTGAAAATATTCAAATTGAGTACTATATTTCAAAGTTCTTCGGCTTCTATTTTCTGAAAAAAAAAAGAAAAAAAATTAAAAGCGACAAAAAAAAGATCAATTCAATTCGAAAAATGACGTTAGTTGCAGTCACTTTTATCGCAAACACATGCGATTATTGTAATAAGTAATGTAGGAGGATACATCTTAACGTCATTTGCTCGAACCAATTATTGATTAATGTTATATGTTAATATGTAAAGTAATGATAATTAGTGAAGAGATAAAAGAAAGGATTATATATATATATATAGGGTGTATGGCGAATGAAATATTGTGATAAGTATACTGTATACCTGAGCGTTACATGAACGTTGTAAAATAGTACTATTAAAATAATACTATCGTTTATAGCTTTTACTTATAAAAGGAAAATGAAAAAATATCTGTTTTAAATAGTTACTGATATTTTCTACTTTTCTCCTTATACTTGTATATTTTTGCGACACATACTAAATGCATCATCGACTTCAGTATTTCATGTATTTTTTGAAATTCTTTCTTTACACACATGTTGATATCCAGCAGGTTTCCATTACATTGAACATAAAACCTCGAACGAGCTTCAATTCTAAACATAGCGTGAAACATTTATTGTTATTATAAAACGAAATGAAACACAATCATCTGTGTCAAATGTGTGTCCCCTTCCGCGTGCCAAAAGTATGTTCTACACTTTATTATAACCAACTGTTAACACTTTGAAGTTCAATATATTGAAAACATAATACAGAAGAAGAATACCAATTTGGTTCAAACTTGGCACAATTATAAGGCATACTTTTTTGAAATAAGGAATTAATAAAATTGGATAAAATCATAGCATTTGATTTAACAAAGCTAGCATCTTGCTATCAGGGTATAGTGAATTGTGAATTTTTTCTTTTAGAATAGTGTGTCTTATGATTTTACAAAATTGTTATATTTGGGCTATGTTTGTTAGGTTTAAATGCAAATATTAAGCAAACCTTGCTTTTGTATATTACACGGTGCAGTCAACAGACTTCAAAGTGTTAACAAGTTCTGATAATGAAAAATCATTGACGCTTATCTATCGGCTATCTGTAATTACATCGTCTTTAGGTCAGCTAATTTTTATAGAAGTAAATGTTCGAACTTGAAATGTCCAATGGTAGGAAACAATAGTACATAATTGAAATACCGAAACGTACATAATGTATACATAATACAAATATTATGATCAGTGTTGGAGCATAGAATGATTTCTCTCTATCTTGTACAAATTGTTACGTTGAATCGTTTAAAGTATAAACGGCACTAAAGAAAACTAGAGCATGTATTTTACTTAAATACCTATTAAAGATGTAAACATCGTTCGATTAATTCACATTTTGAATTACAAAAACAGCATTGAATTTACAAATGTATTAATCGAACGATGCCGAGCAAAATCATCAATAGTTACAGTTAATGATAACGCGATATTACGGTTCAACGCTGATCGTAAAAGAAGCGTCTGTATTTATCGTTGAAGTACTTAAGTTTATTAATCGGAACAATTTGAACAGCTGCCGAATCATGCGGTCTAGGTGTATTTAATATTACCATATTTTTCTATATGATATTCTTCGTGATCGCCAATCCGTATGATAGCAAAACAGGTGACAATGATTCAGCAAACGAGCCTGGAAATTGAAGGAATTGTTAAATACCACTTGATAGATGGATATCGTATTTTAAATAAGATTTGTATGCACTTTAATTAAGTGTAATTAACTCTTGTCGTCGCTGGATGTTTAATTAAAATTACCTCACAGAAAGTTGAACCATCTATAAAAGAAGGAAATTAAAAGCTGAAGTTTCAAGTATTATTGCTATTGTACATATGTATATTAATCAGCAATGTTCTTTCTAATTAAACATTGTGCGTGCAATTTTATTGTTTACTGTGGTGATAGTACCTTAAATAATAACATCGTTTGGTAAGGGATACACAACTCAACATAATTTTACTGAAATGGAGTATCTGTTTCTTCGTGTCACGAATTGAAAATTGAACGTATAAATTGAAAATTTATAGATTTGATGGCCTAACGTTTGCAATGTCATTGAACTGATGATGATGATACTCCAAGATTCTGATCATAAATATGATAAATGTAGAATAATATCCTGTGAAGCAGAAAATGTAATAGTTATCTACAATGTATTTTATTCACCAAAAGTGTTGTAGTTAATTAATATTATATATATATATATATATATATAAATGTATTTGTGTAAAATGCGTGTATTTTGGTCAGTTCAAATATTATTATTATTATTACATAGCATATAATCTACTGTTAAGACGTATCTGACAAGTAATTGATATGATGTGAAATTTTCGTTAAAGAAGTATTCTGCTTCCAAATGCTATGTATCTTATTCGAATAATTCTTTTTATTAGAAACAAAAATTTCGATGTTTAATCGATCCAGACAAGGGAACAGAATATTTCTTACTTTATGATTTTGGTTGTGACATTTCTGGAATAGAAATACATAAGCGAAAAAGTGGATCACAAAGTAGAAAGAAAGAGGCAGAAAAAGACAAATGGAATAAGGAATAAAAATTATATTTTTCCAACATTCAATTGCAACCATTCACTGCACCCGTTATAATATTTTTATGTATAAGGTGTTCGGCTATAGTGTTAAAGGAAAAAGTTGTTCAGAATCACTTCAAGACAAATGGACATCCTCCTACAAGGATGCCCACCCATAGCCGAACACCCTGTTTATTTTATTTACACATTGGTTGCAAGGGACCACGGGATATAGACAAATAATAAACCATACAGAACATTGTTTTTCCATTTTGTTTTCTTCATCAATTAGTCCTCCACCATTCTACTGGATTATTATAACAAGTAGAGTTTACATTTACAATTACAAATACCATCTACGTTTACAATTACGATAATGTTCTCCAACAGTCTACTGAAGTATACTACATAGTACCTTTATTTGCTTTAAGAAATTGAAAATTTGTTCGTATTGTATTATAATTTTCGAAGTCCTTTTTTAGTGTATTTACTACATTTTCTCTTGAATGGTTTAATTGGTTTCGAATCGCTGTCATTATCATCTATCAAGATTTTGCTGTTTTTCCTCCCCAAATCACTATTCGTAGACTTCTTTCCTTTGCTTCGAACCAATACCTTGGTACTTTTTCTAATTTTACTCTTAATCTTTCTCCTTTTCTTATGCTTCTTTTTGCGATCTAGATTAGCTATTATCGCTTCGGTATCAGCTGATACCTTTACTTTCGGTTGTTGGGTGGTCACAGTCACCCTTACGTACGAATCGTATAAAATATCTCCACAGAATTCACCGAAACAATATTCGTCTCCGCATTCTGAGCAAATTTTTACGCTGCTCTCAATTACACCCGCTCGATTTTTGCTACGTCTGATAGGACTTAAGTTTGATCGTCGTTCTTTAGCGATCGTTTTCGCTTCCAACTTTCCCATTTCCACCTAATAAAAGAAATATGGTGTTAAATAAGACTTTTATAGTTAGAGAAATTAATTGCTAATTTTGTAAATAATTTAAAAAAGAAAGGGAACACAATTTTCCACTTTATATGATTTAGAATGAATTGTAAATGATGTCTGTTACATAAATACCAATCTTGAGAACATTTCTTCATCTTGTCGGTGTTTTGGTCTAATAGGTGTTAACATTCTCCAGTCAATAGCAACCTGCTGCAATTCATGAAGATTCAAGCCTCTCATGTCTGGGGGTATTGGATTCCCATAGTTCCATTCTCTTGCAAATGCTTTTAATTCCTTTTTAGTTGGCTTCCAAGAAAATTCTTTGTCGCGCACTTTAGTATCATCCTTTTTTACCTACATTGTTATTTTCAATAAAAATCTTTTCAAAAAATAGTTTACAATTAACTAATGAAATTAAAATTCATTTAATAGCGTTTATTATCAATGGAACCTTTTCTGGTTTAATTTTAAATTCAAGACAATTCTCTAAAAGACGTTTGAACTCCTCTTGAGAGTTGCAGGTTGCTTTACTTAAATCAGGCAATAAATTTGCATCCTTTTTGTCTTCTTTAAGGAGATCATCCAACTGGAAGGCCATTATCTACATCTGCAATCCAAGAAAAATATTCAACTCTCATTTTTCTACATCAAAATCATCGTGTCTTCTTTCATCTTATACCCCGTACAATCACACTTTCTACAAAACTGAAACGAAAGAACGAAAAGTATGCACAAAAACGCGGATGATTGATTTTCATTAATAAATCTCTGATGCAGCGGGAGAGACCAGGCATCTCTCGGAGTCCCATTCCATCTGTTTCATTAAGAGACCCTAGACAAATATTTTTATTTAATTTATCAAGTTCGTTTAAACATCAATTTCTTGTTCCATTATATACGGTACATACATTTTTCAAGGTGGATAGTTTAGATAAAATATCTTGTCCGCACCAGATATTAGGATTATCGTTGTTGTCTGATCGTGCTTTATCGTTACGTCCACATCTATTTTCTTCGATAGTGATCCTTCCATTTTTATCTGTCCGCAATGGTATGATGGAATTCAAACTGTCCATCGAAAGATCCGCATCGTAACTGTCTATTTTCGTTTTCGGTTTATTTATCATACGGAGTTTAGATTTGATATCTATAAGTTTTCTTCCATCCGGCGATGGTGATCTATGAAAAACAAATTGTTAGTTGTAATATCCATAACAATTGTAATTATTTTTAATACCTTGAACGTTCATCGCTAGATTCAACCAGACGTCTTCTCATTCGCAATCTTCTTTGATAATGAGGATCTTTTTCACTTTGTGTACGATACCGAGTACCCGGTCTAAAAAAATATTTCAATTATGATTTGACGTATAAATGATTTTTATTATGAAATAAAATTACCTATTAGCATTCCACTGTGGCCTGGAATCAATTCCTCTTCTAGACTGACATTTTAATCTAGGAAGAGATTTCACAGCAATCTCCTCGGTTGATACATTCATGGACCTTTAAAATGAACAAACATTGCGTACAACATTGGACAATAATTAGAAAATCCTTTATAATTATCCTTACAATGTAACATTAGATCAATATTAAAGACAAATAATTTGGTGGAAACAAGCATAATACGAAAAGAAGATAAATAATGATGAACATAGAATAAATGAGAATCTCGGAAAACGAAATGAAATAATAATTACCGCTTCTATTTGCAAGACAGAAGAATAATATCCTCTACGATTCTTCAAGTTTTTGAACCGATTCAATGCATCATATTACGACTCACTTTTCGATATCCCTTTTACTAGCATTCGTCGCGTCCTTGCGGTCCTTCATAGAAGAGTCCTTGATGGTCGAGTCCTGGAATTTCTCCCGATAATCTTGACGATCGTTTTCTATGTCTGTCTGGGTGGCAAAGTCTCGACCATTCATGGATCTGTATTTACTGGGAGTGAGTAATCTGTTTTCTACGATGGTGGATGGAATCCTGGAGGAGCTTGGACTGAAATTCGAACTTCCTAGATTGTGTATAAGAGTGTTCAATCCTACAGACAAATTATTCGAATTATTTTCGATTGCCCTTGGAGTAGGAGTCAGGACCAAATTAACCAACTGCAGGTTTGCTTTGTTAAGTATCTCTGAGTCTTCAAGGCGACCACTTAGTACAATTGCTACATCTTTACTAATAGGAACTTGGACAGCATTCAAATCATTATTTTCTTGTTCTTCTTTCTCTGAACTGCTTGGTACATCTTTGTTACTGTTATTTTCTTTGTTATTCAACAAAGTTACTCTTTCATTAGTATCTTTGACATCGCTGCTAGAAGTTAAACTTTGCTGAGTTCTTGCACTTGAGCAATTTTGTTTGACCTGAGTTTCGTTTGAAATTTTCGACTCGCATTCTCTGGATGATATCGTAGTTTCTTCATCACTTTCTTCGCATTTGCGACGAACTTTCTTCTGCTCCTTCGCCAAACGCTCTGCTGCCTTCAGAACCTCGTGCATCGCTTCAGCTTGTCTTAGCTTAACAGCTTCCCTTTCTTTCAATTTCCTTTGCTCTTCCTCGAACCTAATACGAAAGTATAGTTTAATTAATCTAACTTCGTTTAAACAATCAATCGAAACTTAAGATACAATTTCTATACACCTTTCTTTTTCTTTCTCTCTTTCCCTTCTAATCCGTTCTTCTTCCAAACGTTCTTCCCTGAGCCTCCTCTCTTTCTCTTCCTTCCTCTGCCTGTCTTTCTCTTCCAGCTGCTTTTTAATCGCATTTTGAAGTTCCAGAGCTTTCTGCCTTTTCGCCTCTCGCTCTTGAAGAATGCCTGCGTCCACGGGTATATTCTGACCCCGAAGATAGGTCTTGTTATCGGATCCAATCGAGCCTATCGTCGAGCTGTCCGAACTGCTGGCACTTTCGTGATTTATAACCAGGACCTTAAATTTTAATAAAAATTACAGAAGCTAGTTAATCATTTAGAGGTTTAAACGATGCTTTTATGTAATTATACTTGGCTTGATTGTCCTAATCTCGCCAGCCAAGAAGGTGCTGGTGGATCTCCTCGTGCAGTCTCTTGACCCCATACACTACCCCACCTTGGCCTGTTCAGTTCTCCTATCCTACTATCAGATAATCTCCTCGATGGTGGCAATGAACTTTCTGGCGTTGTCTGGTAAGGATTTTGCCACGTTTTCTCCGGCATTTCCTGCGGGGGTGCTTTGCATCCAGGTAACACAGCTGTGAAAATATAACAGTACGTGTTAATTAATTAATCATTCTTTCGTGAACCTTAAATTTCTCGCCTTATCTGTTTTAACTTACTTCCTGTTTCTGACGCTGGCACATCTACAGAGTCGCTGGCGTAACCGGAAGTCTCTCCTTCACGTTCTTCGCCCTGCGAGCCGTAATGAGTGTTCTTCGAATTTTCATAACGATCGTAGTGTCGATGATTGCGCTGTTGCTGAGTTTTCTCAGGACGATAGTGTAATCCTTCGTTGGCGAAGTCTCGCTGCTGACCCTAGAACACGAACGAGCTAATTTATTCTTCGGAAGAAATGGTACAAAGGCTCGCGTGACGAAGCAGCTATTTTCTTGTCGTCAATCTTCAAATAGTGTTCCCTCGAGCGCACCGCTGATCGAATGTGATTTCTGTGCCACGATGAGACAGGAACGGTGAACTGTGAGCTTGCATTTGCTTTTGTAATTCAAAATATCTATTTAAGTTAGTTCTAACTATAATTTTCATTGTATAACTTTAACTACGCTATATTAACATAAAATTAATACCTGAAATAATTATTTTGGTAACTTGATTTTTAGGTAATTTGCATCATTTAATTTGTTTTATAACAAATAAAATAATTATTTTAGAGATTAATTTTGTGTAATTTTATGTAATCTTTTTTTTAAACACTTAGTTATTCAAAGTTTTAGATGTACACGTGGATAGACGAAATTGGTGGTCAAGGGGTGAACGTACTTGAAGCATCAGATAAGAATCGATTTGTCAGACTGCCTTACTTTTGCTTTACTTCCCTTCAGGGATAAGACCCGGTCGTGTATAGTTTTCGACACAATCTAGAAGCAGCAATTGAAAGCAGGTGACCATTTATTATTCTACTATCATGCTATACACCAATCACAGTAATTTATATAGATCGAATATTCAAAAGAGGATAAAAATAGAACAGTAAAATTCATCTACAATTTGGAAAGAGATTTAAAAATATATTATATCTCTTTTATTTGTAATTATCAATTACTAATCTTTCAGTTTCGGTTCTTCGTTCACCCAGAAAATAAAATCCGTGTATACAATAATGATCAATAGAAATCAATCCCAAGCATACAATTGTGCCACTTTATTGTTGCAAACGCGGTCACGAACCAATTTATTTCTTATACCATTACGTTATTTATGTGCAAGGTAATCACAGAAATATAATGTTCCTAATGTAATTTTGAAAAAGAATTGGTTCTAGTTATGTATAATAAATTTAGAGACAATCAAAGTAACAATAGCTCATAGTTCGCCTGAAATAATTAGATACAATATCCATGCAATTTTAATTAAATAAAGAGCAACATTCTTCAGTTAGTAATAAACTCCATACAATCCTAATTGTCCTATCATTCCATTTTCAACTAAAATGCAATTTTCTTTTGCAATGATTTTTTTCAAAAATAAAATGTATCAAACAATCATTCATTGTTCCATGATTTACATTGTGATAGATATAAGCACAGCATTGCAGACAAACCTGACAGACATATTGCTGCTGATCCTTGTTGTAAATGGGCGGCAGACTCGGGCTTCTGTGCCTGATTTGCGACACTTCCGGTTGCTCGTGCAGATTTATCAAGCTACCACCATTGCAGTCCAAACACTTTAGGTTCGTGCCACTGTTTCCGGAACTCTCTGTCGCCAGGCTCTTCAGACTGACCGTGCTTCCGTAATGTCCAGTGGCACGGAAAGGTTTTGAGGACAATTGTTTGTCCTTCGTTTCCATCAAGGACATTCTTGATCCACTTGGATAAGTACTGCGTTGACGATTTATCATTAGGTGCGTACAGAAATTCTATTTATTTCTTGTGATGAAAATTTTAAATAAAAATTTAAATAATAAGTGCCATAACAGATGGTGATATGATTGGCAAAATATTTTAAGGAGTAGATTGTAAAAGGACATCAAGGACATTTCACTTTGGTACTCTAAAATAATACTTACCGAATATTGGTGCGGATATTGATGTTATTTTTTAAAAGTCCCCAACTCCCGCCAAGACGTGCCATTTCTTCTACGGTATTCGCATAAAATATTAATTTCCCGGTACAATATTATCGAGCCGCCATATTACTTATTAAAATCTTTACGATTTTATCTTTATATAATTATTATAAATGTTTTTCAGTTGGAGATGATCGTTTAATTATCCGGAACATACCTCTCTCTCTTGCCCATTGGATCCTCTTTTGTTCCACCAGTGAGGTTCTCCCGATCATTGTTGGCGCGCAATACGATTCCCGCGAAAAAGAAATTTGCTCGGTCGATAATGACGGCAAGATCAAAGTCACGAAAGAGAGAAAAGAAAATAACCTACATCATCCAGTCTGCGTTTAACAATGTCACGTCGATTTTACCTATCTCCCGTTTTCTCGCTTCGAGGAGTAACGAACCAGTTGATCTTCAAGTGCGACACCACTTCCGGCGCGAACGTTGGGTTCGAAATCCTTGGATGTCAAAAGACGGTGCTGAGGTTCATCACAGGTCATGTCAATATTTGAGACTGCGGTAACTCTGCAAGACTGTACAAGGCTTTACCTGATACATACACACATATGGTACCGTATCAAATACGAAAGGAACACGCGGCCACGATTCGATCGCCAGCGACGTTTCTATGGGAACAATCGTGAATCAACCATGGAACCTCTTGCACTACTGTCAGGGTCGATAATATTGACCAGACGAACAAGATAAGGAATAATGACCTTTAACAGTCTATTTGACGGTCAGACATCCCACCTCTGACAAAAGAGCATAATCTATACCCTTGCATTTATAAAGATAAAACAACCATGTAATTTTAATACTATAGCTTTTTAATACTTACATTAAACGGTTTAGAATTTTTGTTTTATAATTGCTTATCAATGTTCTCAATCATATTGAACTCTGGTTACATTTCTGTTTTAAAATAAATATAATATATGTATATTAAAATTCAAAAGGTATTTCATTCGATAGAGAACAAAATGTTAATACTTTATTATAGTCTTCTTTATTGTCATAATTGTACGATCATGAGTGGTTATTTTATTAGTACTTTACAATTTGTATGTTAGTTTTTTAATTATAAATTGCAAAATTAAATATTTTCAAAAATTAGTACACAATCGAAAAATTTAAAAATTCGAGCACTGCGCCATCTACTTAAAGACGGCTAAAACTACTCCACGACTTACCGATTGATTTTCCCCGAACTACTTACCTAGGTAAATCAGTGGCGGAAAAAAGTAGCGGACAATTGAACAATTATTATTATTGTTGTTTGACAAACTTGTATTCACCTCATGCACCTTGGTAAATAAATAATTTTAAAAAAGGAATTGAGTTATTATTTAATTTACCTAATTTCATTTCTAAGTTATTTATTTAATGTCTGTAATTTCTTTTCTCAGTTATTTATTAAAAATAACTAAAACCATAATACACATGAAAATCAAACTTAAATCAAAACACAGTAATTACTTCTTTGACCTAGAACGAAATGCGACTTTTTCAGTCTTATATCGACCGCCGAGGGATGTGGATCAAGCTATCAAATATACAGATGCTGCTAATTTCCTGTCGGGGTTTATTTGATCTACTTTATTTATTTTTTTCACTTATTAGATAAGCTCATCAAAGAGGAACGATATTTATAATTTTAGCCCTCTTCTGGACCTCCGCCGACCACTCCTTTTATTTATTATTTATTATTTTATCCTTCTTTATGGGCAAAACCCACCCTTCCTAATTATTTATTATTTTATTTCTCTTTATGGGCCTCGCGGAAACCACCCTTCCTATTATCCTATTCCTTTTTATAGACCAAGGCCTCCATTCGCGCTTATTTATTTTCTTCGTTCTTATCATGGACCTCGCTGGGACTACCCCTAAATCACTTTATCCCCGTACCCCTTCTATCCCTGCATCTCTTATATGCCGGCATTCCTTATATCTCGGCACCCTTATATTTTTGCATCCCTTACATCACTGTACCCTTTATATCTCTGTATCCCTTACACTCCAGAATTCTCCCTGCATCTCTTGTATCCTTTCAACCCTTATAATAAATATATTACAAATAATATACTTATGGCCACTGGTTCGAATAAAGGTAAGTAAAGGTAAGTAAAGGTAAGTAAAGTTTCATGAAAAATAATTTTAAATTTAAATTTTTGCATAATTTAGTTCCTTTTTTTACCGTCAGAGGGCGCTCTTTCGACGTCGAAAATTTAGTTCGCATTTTTACCGCCAGAGGGCCAAAATCTTTGCATGCTTTAGTTCCTTTTTCCGCCGCCAGATGGCGCTGATTCGACGTTGAAAATTTAGTTCGCATTTTTCTCGCCAGAGGGCCAAAATTTGTGCATGATTTAGTTCCCTTTTTCGCCGCCAGAGGGCGCTGATTCGAGGTCGAAATTTTAGTTCACATTTTTGCCGATAGAGGGCCAAAACTGGTGCGTGCTTTAGTTCCTTTTTCCGCCACCAGGGGGCGCAAAATTTATTCGTACTCTAGTTCCTTTTTCTGCCGCTAGGGGGCGCTATTTTTTGTGAAAAATTAAGTTCAAAGGATACAGGGATGTGAGTGATGAAGGGATTTAAGGGATGCAGGGATGTAAAGAATGCAGGGATATGAGGAATGCAAAGATGTGAGTGATGCAGGGATTTAAAGGATGGAGGGATGTAAAGAATGCAGGGATGTGAGGAATGCAAAGATGTTAGGGATGCTGTGATATGAAGAAAACAGGGATGTAACGGATGCTGAGATGTAAGGAATGCATAGGTATAAGGGTGATAGAGCTGTAGAGGATGCAAGGATATAAAGAAAGCAGGGATGTAAAGAATGCAGTGATATAAGGAATGCTGGGATGTAAATAATGCACTCGGGAGTAATAAAATCAACACGTTTGTCCTCCTAATAAGTTTATTCAATAAGTTAAGAAGATAAATTAAATGAACGCAGAAAATAAAATAAGGGTATATGTATGTTTAGCAGATAGATCTGTACCCCTCGGCGGTCGCTATAAAACTGATGATGTTTCACTTCGCTCTACGTCGAACGGTTGATAACTGTGCCGCAGCCAGCTACCTTTGTTGGAATCAGTGGCTGTAAATATATTTTTTTTTTAACGTGGGGAAATCTTGCATAAAACCCCGGGGGAGAGCGGCGGGGGAGTGTCAGATTTCTACTGATTAAAACCCCACGGCGACCCACACTGGCGCTTGGATGCGTAGTAGTGCCGTGATCAGTCAGTTTGCGGCGCAAACAATCACCGCGGGTAAGCGGGGATATTTATACCGCAGTTCACCAGAGTCCATAACTGCGAAAAGACCAGTTTTCGTTCTTCGCGCTTCTCCAGTGCGCATCTTCGCCCTGATTGGCGATACTCCCAAACGAAGTGGAAAGCGATTAGCAGAGAGCTCGCTGCGTTCCCCCACCATCTTCCAACCTGCGCGTTGCAGTTATGGACTCTGGTGAACTGCGGTATAAATGTGTCAATTTTAATTTGACGATAGGTGACGCTGTAAACTATATTTTAAATTTCCCCATAAAGTCTTCTACCTTGAGATTTACTTCATACGACGTGGTCATTTAGCCAATCAGAAGAAAACGAGGAAATTCGTTATTTTGAAATAGGAATTGGTAGATGTAATTTCTGTTTCACTGAGTTTTCAAAGTAAGTCTCTTTTTTATTAGTACGAATTTTCTAAAATAATTAAGATTTTGACATTGTTTTCTTGCAGAATGAAACTATCTGTGCATATAAAATAGCCTCTAAATGTAAAAATTAAGTTTTATTCAAGCTTTGAATTATTTGTCTTATATTTGAATTATTATTGTAGCTAATATTTCAGCAATGCTAAAGAACAATAAAGCTACTCTTCAAACACGAGTAACCGATCAAATGGAAAATAATCTTAAACAGTTAAAAATAACTAATCCTGTATTAACTGAAAATATATCAAAAAATATACAAACTGTTGGTGCTGTAAAAGATCAGTGTAATACTTACATTGCAAATTGTAAGCAAAACAAAGGAAACAGTGAAAAGATATCTGCAGAATTAATAGTGCCTGCATCTCTTAAAACAATAGAATCTGTAAAAAATAAGATTGACGATAAAAGTGATAAAGAAAATGTAAATACTAAGAAGATAGACACTGACAAAAATGAAGAACAAAATAGTGGGATGAACAAAAATCAAAGTAGTAAAAAATGGGTATTAACTGATTTTGACATTGGACGTGCCTTAGGAAAAGGAAAATTTGGAAATGTTTATTTAGCTAGGGAAAAGAAATCAAAATTCATTATTGCTATGAAAGTATTATTTAAAGCACAAATAGAGAAAGCTGATGTGGAACATCAAGTTAGAAGAGAAATTGAAATTCAAACTCACTTAAGGTATAATTTAAAAATGTTAAATTTCTCTATTATAAAAATAATAATACAAATTTATGATTTTTTTTTTATATAGGCATCCAAATATTTTAAAGATGTATGGGTATTTTCATGATGACAAGAGGGTATATTTAATTTTGGAGTATGCCCCGAATGGAGAATTATTTAAGGAATTAAATGCCCAACCAAACAAACGCTTTGATGAAATCAGAACAGCAACATATGTATCTCAATTAGCAGATGCTTTAAAATATTGTCACAGTAAAAAAGTGATACATCGTGATATTAAACCTGAAAATTTATTACTCGGGATGAAGGGTGAATTAAAAATGGCAGACTTTGGGTGGTCTGTCCATGCTCCCTCTTCTAGAAGAAATACTCTGTGTGGCACTTTAGACTATTTGCCACCAGAAATGGTAGCTGGAAAAACACACGATCACACTGTAGATTTATGGGGACTTGGTGTTCTATGTTATGAATGTCTAGTTGGTACTCCACCATTCTTAGCTAAAACTTATGAACAGACATATATGAAAATTAAGAAAGCTAAATACAAATTTCCTGACTTTGTTAGCGATGGTGCTAAAAATTTAATATCTCAGGTGGAGTTATTTTTACTTATTAAGTGATATTTCATTTTTTTTTTAATTATTAATTTCTTTCATTTTTTTTTTTTAGTTACTGGTAGTTGATCCAGATCAAAGATTACCTTTAGAGAACGTTTTAAATCATCCTTGGATTGTGAAAAATCGAACAACACAACCATATGTTCAATGATGGGTTAGCCTATTTCAATAAATTTTATACTATTTTTCTATAAAGCAACTACGTTTTATTAAAAAGGAGCTATGCAATGTAGGTTTGATTGGACATCATTACCATTGCATCTATTATATAGCGGGTTTTTAACAAAAAGTGACCACAGCTGTTCTTTACATTGTTTCCAACGTCATACTTTCATACATACATCTTAGCATGTATTTTATTATGCAGATAATTACTATTCATGCTTAGCTTTTAAGATATAATTTTAATGTAATCAGTAGTTGAAATTTACTATGTCATTTAACTTCTTTAAATTTAACAAGTTTAGTTTAGTTATCACAATTTAATTTATTTGCATTAGTTTGGAACATAAACGGTGTAGGCATTTTATACACGTGTTTTATTAATCAGAAAGGGTTTGGAACAAAAAGATGTTATGTATTAAAAAAATCGTGTATATATTAAGTGTTTTAATGTTAATAAAACGTTTATAAATGGTAAATTATACATTTATATGATTGGAAACCTGTATAATAACAACGTATGTTCATTAGGCACTACATATACATGTATAACTTTATGTAAACAAAATAACAGCTAATTTTTATAAACAGATAAAAGATAGTTATAACATATTTATCGACGAAGATTAATATTAGTACAGTAATACATCTAATTCATAATAAAAAGAAATATAATTTTACATTTATTTTGCGTATTAAACTAGTATAGTTCAACTAGAAATTGTTTAAATTAACCAAAAGTAAGTTGAACATAAATTACTAAACTAATAATGATATTGCAGGTATTTAATTTTCAATTAAACGTAAAAAAAACAATTCCGATTTTATCTTTTATTTTGAAACAAATTGAAATTTAACACTACATTTTATTTTAGAATATTAGAGATAAACAGTTCAATTATAAAAATAAAGTTAAGACATACAATATGTACTTTTATGTTGGGTTTGTCAGATCGAAAGTGTACTTTAAATTGGAAGATTTTTACATACTTATGTAATATTTTTATTTCACGTTTCCATGGGTTCCATAACAACATCCACTATAGGTGTATCAACTGGAGTTTCCATCGGTGTATCATCCAATTTTTTTTTTATCGAATACAATTTCTTTAATTTCTCGTAATGTTTAATATCCTATGATTTGTTAGTTTGTGTTAACAAGATATATTTATATAAGTAAAAAATTTGAATAATAATCATTAAAAGTAATTACCTTTTCCTGAACGGATGGCCTAATTTTATCGAAAGCGCTCAATATATGCCGCATAGAAATTTCTGGTTGTCCAGAATAATGCATATCCATTAAGTCTCTTAATGCTTCTATTCCAGCTTCTCTTATTAATGCTGCCAAATCCGCTCCAGTATAACCATCACATTTACTGTTGTATCCTATTTCTTCAAGATTTACGTCTACAGCCAATTTTGGTTTAGTTGCATTCTGCAAGTACAAATATATTTGTAAGACATATATTTTTTTTAAACACATTCACTTAATTAATAATTGTATAAGTAAAATACCTTTGTTAATGCTCTTAAAATATCAACACGATCCGCCGATGTAGGCAAATCAACGTATAAAATTTTATCCAGTCTTCCTGGTCTTAATACTGCTGCATCTATAATGTCAGGTCGATTACTTGCAGCCATCAAAAATACCCCCTGTCGTCCTTCAACTCCATCCATTTCAGTAAGCATTTGATTCACAACCCGCGAAGTTGCAGAATTATCGCCTTCTGATCGCCTAGGACATAACGCGTCTAATTCGTCAAAAAATATAACACATGGCGCAGAATTTCTTGCTCTCATAAAACACTGTCGAACTGCTTTTTCACTTTCGCCGACATACTGAAATAGATATATGTATTTACATTGAAAGGTAAATAGAATTAAATTAATAATTTTAGTAATAACAATTATTACCATATTTAATAGTTCTGGTCCTTTAACAGAAATGAAATTAATACCCGCTTCATTTGCAATAGCTTTAGCTAACAATGTTTTTCCACAACCAGGTGGACCACATAATAATACTCCAGTAGGTGTTGTTAATCCTAAGGCTGTAAAATGTTCAGAATGTCGAACTGGGGCCTAGAATGTTAAACACAACAGAAAAGAAGAGAAATCAAAAAGAAAATATCTAACACATTTTAAATGTAATACAAATTTGTTCAGATTACTCTAAGTATAATTATATTTACAAGTATAGTCATTTGTAATTCCTCTCTAATATCTCTTAAAGAACCAACATCGTCCCACGTAACATCTGGTACTGTAGCGAAACCTTCTCTCTTGGCCGATGGCTGTATAATACGAAGTGCAGTTTCAAAATCACTATGTTCAATACATAAACTTGAAAGTCGTTCTGAAGGAAGTGGTGGATCATTACGTAACCAAGTAAGTAACCCTGTTAAATCAGGAGATTTGGAATTTTCTTGTATTACATCCATCTCTGTCGTTTGTAGATTATTTGAATTATTTGTCTTGTCTAATTTAGGAACATCAGTTTGATCTGAGGTAGATGGTTCAATAGTTGCTTCTTCAACTAGATTACCAGAATTCTCAAAATTTTGTGATTCTTTATCAGTATCGTTATTAACTTCCGCTGTTTCTGATGATTTATTATCTGTCGCGGACCTATTTAAGTCTTCAAGTATTCTAAAAAAAAAAAGATCAATTTATGAAATCATACTTCATTATATTGAATATATTCTTTTAATATATTCAACAATACTTACCTATCTACAGCTGCCATAGCTGCTTCTCTAATTAACGCAACTAAATCGGCACCAACGAAACCTGGTGTAAGTGAAGCAATTGTAGATAAACTAACATTAGGGGCAAGTGCTACTTTTTCTGTATGTACCGCTAAAATTTTTGCTCTAGCTTCTCTATCAGGTATTCCGAGACATACTTCATGATCAAAACGACCAGCTCTTCTCAATGCTGGATCTAGCGAATCAGGTCGATTTGTTGCCCCAAGTACTAGTACTCTAATACCATTCTCCTTCAAACTCAATTCTATTCAATAAAATATATCACTTATATTTCAAGATTACATTCATGATTACTATGATTTATTGTAATCTTACATAGCATCTTACCATCCAAACATGATAGTAATTGCGCTACGATTCTTCTTTCCATTTCTCTTTGAGCTGTAGCCCTATGTGGTGCTACAGCATCAATTTCATCTAAGAAAATGACACAAGGTGCAATTGCAAGTGCCTGTTCAAATAGCTCCCGAATTCTTGCTTCACTTTCCCCTGATACTCCAGCCACTAATTCAGGTGCTGCTACTTTCAATAAAGGTATTCCTAATTCCTAAATTTGACAAATAAATAAACGTGAATAATGAAAAATAAAACATATGTATCTATAATTAAGTACTATCTTACTCCTGCAATAGCATATGCTAATAAAGTTTTTCCACAACCAGGTGGACCGTGAAGTAAAAATCCTCTTGGTGGTGATATCCCAAGTTGTTTAAAGATTTCCGGATGTTTCATATGCGCAAGTAATTTACAAACAGTATTTAAAACTTTATCATTTCCTCCTATGTCTGTAAATGTGACTTTTGGTTCAGATATGGGTATTCCTTTAGCTTTCTTTGAGAATGTAAAGTGAGTATTATCACTATCTCTATCACGTTGTCGTTTTCTAGTAGAAAGTTCTGTAACTGTTGTCGCTGTTCCTGTTGTTGTTCTTGATCCTCTTCCTGTATCCTTATCATGTTGTGTTTCTTTTATGGGCTATTAAAATGGAACAAAGTGTGATAAAAAATATTAAGTTGAGAAAACATAGTATAACAAGAAAAGAAATCTTAAAATTTACTGCTTTTGCATGTTGTTCCTTAATTGGTTCAGGTTTTTTTGTACACGAAGATGGACCAGCTTTTTGTTGCAGATTCTTTTCCGTAACGTCAGGTTCATTTGTTTTATTAGAATTTGCTTCTACTTTGTTCACATCATCATCGCTACTAATGTCTATAAGTTCTTTATCGCTAGAATTTCCATTTTGTTTATTTTGAGACTTTTTATACATTTTTAATAGCATGCCATCCAACATAGTATTTTGAGGATCTGACTGAAAGCAATTCAACATAATATTTACTACTGTTATATACCCTATAATATTATTGGAGCGTAGCGAGCGAAGCTGCGCTATTAAACGACTGATTGGGATTTTTGTGACTTTTTAACTCAAAATCTAGATTATCAATTTTGACCATTATTTACAAGCCGATCACAGTGGTTACTGTGAGTGTTTATATAGAATAAAATCAGAGATCAATGGTGTCTTCGAGGAATGGTCACAGAAACTGATACCCATGTTAAGTCTATCAGAGAAATCGAAATTACACTTAGTAATTAGAGAGATTTGCGAGTAATAGAGTAATTAAAGTTACTTTTACTGCAAATCAATCGCTTCACTCCAGTATGTCAGCCACAAAGTGGATGGCAGCCTAGTTTTAATATTACAGATGTAAGTACCTCAACATCAACTTCCTCCTCTTCTTCATCATCATCATAAGCAGGCCAATCCCGGGCACAATACTTCTTTGCAAACATTTCTGTAAGTTCATCATACGCTTTGCGTACTAGTGCCCTAAAGGGACCTCTTTTTTTAATACGATAATCACGGTATTTTCTTTGTAAAGCATCTGCCATTTCATTAACATCAATATAGACTTTATTTTCATTTTCATGCATGTACTAAAAGAAAAAAAGATATAATAACATTCCAATCAATAGAAAATAATATATGTATACTTGTAACTCCTTAGAGGTTGTTGTAATGAATTTTGTATTTTTAAATTAATAATTATGTTAATATGCAAGTTACCGCGCAAACAGTGAAAGATCTGCTGGCTTTATGTATATAGTTAAACAGAAATCTAAACGTTATGAAATAACCAAATTACCGTTTGTACACGTGAAATTAATAATTGATCTCGTAAATATTTGTGAGAAGAATCAACTTTATGCTTGTTATTCATATTTTTTGATTTATGATCCTCACTGAGCTCTTGTAGTGGGATGATATCAATTGAAGAATTTAATTTCCCAACTTTCTGCATCTTTGCAATGTTAGATGTTATAAACACTTATATATAAATTAAACGACTATTAAATGTTTATTATTCTCTCTTCTTAATTTCTTACACGTGCTATCGTGCGAATATCATACACATCTTTTATACTACAAGGTGCTACAAGTGCGTTTTCGGTTTTACAAAACTTCAATTCTTGGCTACAATGAACAGAAAAAATTATACCATTGAAGCGGGAATAATTTCCCTAGCACGTTAAAGAGCTCGAAATACGGAAAATAGCATAGAACAGAAATACGTGTAATAGTAATTATTACAATAAAAATCGAAAAAGTATTTATTGAAAAACTAAGGTATCCTGCACGGAATGTTTAAGCATTGATGTAATGGTATATTTTATGTCATTTACGTGACTTTCTTGGAAAGGTAAAGTTGAATATATTCCAAGAAATTAAACTGAGTTACACTTCTATATTACATTAATGGTTTAGCACACATGCGTACTTTGCTGAGAACGGTCAAGTGTGCATTTTGTGAAAGTTACGCATTGTATTTTTCAACTAGTCAACAGCAGTCAACAGCAAGCCATGTTGGCGACAAGTTTTGATTGCGGTTTCGACTTACGTTTGACAAATTTGTCGTGATGATCTTGATTATATATTTCTTTTAATTATTTCTAACATTTTGCAAGATCTCTTGTTACATTATTTCAATTAATTTTATGAATCATAAATTTCATTATGGTAAAATTAACAGAAGAAATGGTCGTGGCTCGGACACGAATGTCCGACTTCTCTACTGTGAAGAAACTTAATTGTTGGTAAGCATTTATTAGAATCCTATGCTTTTAAAATGATGTGTTACTTGTTCCCTTATTATTCAATAATTGTTGCATCTTATAAGATTAAAATGACAAGTTCAATGTAGTATGTATATTTTATAGTAGATTCAGCTTGTACGTAATTTATAATTTCTTATACGTTTCTGTTAAAAGATATATTATTCTAATGGCTAATATATTATTATGTTTTGTTATTTCATTTCTTTTTAATAGTTATAAAGTACTATAATTTGTACTAAGTCTAAAAGTTAAATAATTTATAGATTTTGTGAATCATCAAGGTAAAATTAATTACTTACATATTTAATGCTTAATTTTCATTTAAACTTCTTTAATTATATTACATTGATCTTATTAGAATTAATCTTAATTTGTCGTCATAAATAATTGTTAATTTATACTTATATATTTATCTTGATGTATTATTAATATAGGGGTACAGAACTGACTGATGTAAGCATTTTAAGGAACATGAAAAATGTGGAAGTACTGTCATTAAGGTGAGAAAATATAGTATTATAATTTATAATATAAACGTTATCTTCTTTACATATTGCTTATTTATTTTATACATGTAAACGTTGTTTAGACAAGAAGGTTTAATAATAATTATTACATTGCTTGTATTACAGCAATGAGCTCAGTCATTTAAAACTTTTAGTATTGCAAAGACTCTAATGCACTCCTACTATGGACATGTTTATATAAAACTCAAGATCATAGGTACAGCCCACAACTTCAGAAGTTGTTCTACCCACACATTTTGAATTCATTGTAATATATTTCAATGTTATTAAAGAAAACTAAAACTGATCTTACCCAAATAAATACATTTTCATTTATAAATCTGTATTAGTTTAGAAATGACATTTATGATTAATGTTAATTGTAGGAATTGTAACTAGTAAAAGTAATATTAATTTTCCTTCTGCACATTTGATGTTGAATAGTCTTTTTTTATAGTATAAATGTTTTGTTTTGTATACATTTTATTTTATTTTATAGTAGTTACATTTCACTTTATCAAAGTTTAAGGCTGAATATAAATTTTTTTTTTATAACTTTGTAGTAAAAGTACATACATGTTTATTATGTAATTGAAAATATATTAAAGAATTTTATTTTATTGAAATATTCATTTTGTATGTATTTGTAGATAAGTCTTTTTGTAATTCTTATTAAATACTTGAATAATGTATAATGTATGTTCAGAATATGTGGTATTAAAATTCATATCCAACTTAGTTCATAAGTAGATTAAAAAATGTGATGAAAATATTTATATAAAAAAGTAATACTGTAAAAATATTAAAATTGGAAGTTGCAGCAATAATATATGTCTATAAGTTATTTTTATTTATTTTCAGTGTAAATAATATCAATACTCTTGCTGATTTTCAATACTGTTTAAGTCTTCAAGATTTGTTTGTAAGAAAAAATAATATTAAAGATTTGAATGAAGTTTGTTACCTTCAAGGATTACCTCACTTACGAAATCTATGGCTTGGTGAAAATCCTTGTGCTGAAAAAGACGGGTATAGTAAATTTTATTAAATTATGTGGTAATTGTTGAATAGAAATTTTAATTGATTAATCTGTTTCCAGATATCGAATGGCTGTTTTGAGAGCTTTGCCAAACTTACAAAAACTTGATGACAAAGTGGTATCACCTGAGGAAGTGCAAACTGCATTAACAAGGGGTCGAATTTTAGTCCATCCTCTTGATATGGATGCATCTCCACCACAGTCAGATACAGTTAGTCCAGAAGTAAGATCATTCATACAAATATATAAATCATTTATTACTTTATTGTAGAATGTTCATATTAAAATTTGTAACTGAAGTAGGTAACTAAACTTTAACTTATGTATTGTAACATTTTAAAATATTTAGTAAGGTATAATTTTATTTAATTCCATCAGAAATTTGTAACAAAGCATTTTTTTAATACATTTTTAACAATTGTTCTAACATTTCAATAACATTTACATAATTAGGATATTGCTACCGAATATATTGGAGAACCGGAAGGTATAAGACATCGAAGATATAGTTCCTCAAGTGATCAGGTAACATGAGCTTTATAGTATTCTGACTTATTTTACAAATATTTTATTCGTGATAATTAAAATTTTCATACACAACTCTGTATGTTTCAACAAAGTAACTTTTTATATTTGTTCACAGAGAAGTTTTGAAGAACCACAACATACTCAAGAAGAATATCATGATCCAGATCATAGAAATGCAAATTACAATACTTCACCATCTCATCATTATTCACAAAATAATCAATATACATATGAAGTAAGTCAATTAATTATATATTATTTACTTTTGCATGAGAACAGGTTTTTACTAATAGGCTTTTATGTGTAAAAGAAAGCAGATTATTCTACTTTTAATGGATCGCTTTTATTTACTTGATAAATTTAGAAGAATAATTCTTTTTCTCTTAGTAATAATTGTTAAGTGAAATAATTAAGTTAATATTTCATTAACTAAGTACAATTATATTGTTGCTACTTTTACCATCATAAACTGACAGCTACAGAATGGACAGTCAAAGAATCAAAGCAAAGACGACACTGCACGTACAGAGTCACGCAGCGTCAATGAAAGCGTGGCCACTAACACTATTGAAATAATCAAGGTACATCTTAGAATGCACAAATGTTTGTGCGATATAGTAGTTTGTTTCTAGAGCTACTTTGTTAGTCTTTTATGTTCATTAGTTTTAGTTTTATAGTACCTACAATTAATCAGTTAGTGGCATATAATTATCAGCAGCAAATAGATAAGAAGCAAAGAGCACCGAAAAAACTGTGAATCTGTTAGATATGTAGGAATACTTTAATTTGAGAAAGATTTTATACAAAATAAATAGTAAAAATATTCCATAAAATATCTCTAATCCTATCTGAAAGATCTGTCTTTTCGATAATTTTTTTCATATTATAATTATGAAAATAATTATCCTATGTATGCTATGTAATAGTGCAATACTTCAAGCAGTGAGATTTAACCAAATTTGGAAGTAAATTATGTTTATTGTATCTGTTATATTCAAAAACATCAAACAGAAATGTTTATTATTAAAAATATATATGTTAGAGGAGATTCGTTATGTTAAAACAAATTTTAGGAATACGATGATCGACCAGCAGTTTCAAGACACAATGGAGATTACGATGAAAGACGAAATTATGTGGAGTATAGCAACAACGATACCCCTCAACGTTCTTATCCACCAACATCTCCTCGAATGCAGTTCTCGGCGAATGAATCCATAGATGATAGACGTGCAGAGAGAAACCATTATGATTATGATAATAGATTGAAACCAGAATATGAAGAACATCATGATCAAAGGATAAAGTCAGATTATGAAGAACATCAACCACCATCTCAGCCTAGACGAATAGCTGTTCATAATGCCGAAAGGGTTAGAATTGTAATTGTTATCAATTTTAATTAGAAACCTATTGAAATGGTTTAAAATAAAATATGTACAATTTCTCAATGCTGCAGGAAGATTCATCTCAAGTGCCTGGATGGATAAGACATTCTGAGAAGGACAAATGTAGATCCCAATTTCATTATCACAGGAGACCTGTTACAAGAGTATGTTTCATAATTAGTTTATATAAAGCTAAAGGTATAGAATAAAAGTAACATTTTATACGTATATTTTGATTTTAGAACTCAAACATACTATCAGCTGTATTATGCTTGGTCAAAGAGCTTGACTATCCAAGTTTGGAAGTGGTAGAAATGGCTGTTAGAAACAGAATGGATGAATTGGAGGAATGATGTTTCTGACGCCGTCCCCAAAACACCCAGGGGACGGTCGCCTTCTCTCACATAGGCAGCATTTCCTCGATTCCAAGTCCAGAGTTTTCGGATTCTATTGATGCTGCAGTAATTTCTTGCCAGTGTGTTGATAATGACGCAAATTTAAATCTTGACCATCATTCGTGTAATAGGCATTCAATGGATGACAATGTTGATAAACGTCAGACTCGTCATAATGGATGTGCGGAAAGTTGTTCGATGCGAAGCCCAAAAAATGTATCCATCAATTCAACATCAAGGTATTTCGGAAATAATCAATATATGTATAAAATCAGAGACTCAGTACCGGATAACTTGATGTCGGTAGTTAATAATTGCGAAGAAAAAAAGGCCAATGATGTTAGAAGAGTGGCTAGTAGTGACAGTATCCCGAAAGGTAGTTATAATGGATTAACTTTGAGTCCGGGATGTAGGGTTTTAAGTCAGGATTGCGTAAGAAGATCGAAAAGCCCTGATATTAGAAACACGGTTGTCCCTCTTCGTTACATTCAATCGGCAAAAGGGACTTGGACATACAATTTGTAAATTAAAGCTACATTAATATTCTATCGAAACAGAAAGATTCTTGATGAAATACGTTTCGAGAGATTCCTAAATATTATTAAGATAATCATTATATAAGTTAAAAGAAATGATATAGTTTCGTCCATTCTTTGGACAAAGAACATACACATACATATATGTAGATAAGAAATTATAGACCCTGAATGGTTATATTCTACCAGTGTCACGAATTTATTCGAACTTCATCTTAAAACGGATGTATTTCCACTTTCAAAGTTTCTTTCGCTCAGCAATTTTAAGGAAATTAATTTTCCTTGGATTTCTTTGCGAATACGCTGTGATATTGACCCATTATTCGATGTTAAATTCAGCATTTAATCATTTTTCGAGATAATTATTTCGAGTTGTATAGTTAGAATTGGTTTCTCTATTATATTCGTAACTAAAATTGAGTTACTATTGAAATAAATTCATAATTTAATATTTTATAGTATCTTCTGTTTCGATTGCTTCTTACAATTGTTTTTCTGTACCAAAGGAAAAAACATTCAAACAAGTCCCTTTATATACGATAATACATTAGATACAGTACGTGAGCATCTTCAAAATGGCAGCAGGTTTATATATTTTAGATAAATGATATAAAAATCAAAGGTAATGAATTTTACATAGTTTAAAATGATATTAATTTCCTTTTTTTCAGTTCTGGCACACATAATGAATTCGATTTAAAATGCTTTTTATAATTGTTTTGTGAATGATTGATTATCTGTTTTCAAAAATTGTCTATAAATTACAATGTAAGGTATTTAATTAATACTTTGTACATAAAGCATACAATCAAAGGCAAGTTTAATATTTTTTATTCGTGATGAATCAAGTATTTTTTTAAATTGTAGATAACTTTTAGTTAAGTAAAATATTCTACTTATGTTTGATGCCAGCAGACACGTAACTTTTATGATGTGCAATAATTTATAAAGTAAAATATTACGTAAATGTATGTATGTACATGTGTACAGGGTACTTGACAATTTTTGGACAGTATGTTTAATAATTATTATAATAGAATGTTGTTGAATATCATTAAATATTAACTACTTTTTTTTAACAAACAGTCTTATTTACATTTACTTAAAAAAAGAAAACTTTTAAATCTGTATAAAAGTTCTATTTAATGCTACTTATTATTATTTTTGTTGTACCTTAAATTCTGTTATACATACACATTAACGAAGTATGAAGCTCAGTAATACTTTCGTTAAAATGTATTAAGTTCTAAATGAAATTGTACTTAAAATAGTATTACAGAATATTTGGAGAACAAGTCTGTGCAGCAACATGTACTATAGATTAATTATTAGACTGATAAAAGTGTATGGCATATTTTTTGGAAAGAAATCGTCGTATGTTACAAATAGGTAAATAGAGAAAATAATTGAAGTGACAAGGCTACTAAATTCTTTCTACAATATAAACCGTTCCATGTAACTAAGCCACTTTTGAACTTAGATTTAAGATATTTTATAAAGACGCGGAACGCAATATCTTTTGTTGTTATATAACCGTCCACTTGTATTATTTTATACTGATTAATGTTATTGTTATTTAATACTGTTACAAGAACAAATATTATACTTAATTACTTAATAGCTGTTTAGTATATAATGCAGAGATTAAACATTCTTTGGTTTTTCTGATTTAAAGGAATGTTTCCAATTTTACATAAAGAAAAGGCACAATGTGTCTTTAATTTTGGACGTAAATTAATATCGTCAAAATTTTGAATTGAAATTCCACTATTGAAAATTGTTGCTTAAAATTCGTTAATTTATAAATACAGTGTTTGTTGATAATTAACCATTAAATTGTTAATTACCATCAGATGTTTTTTCTATAATTATACAATTATAATAACTTATTACAGTTACAATATTAAGGTGTTTTGAAAAATAAATTAATTATAAAAACTACTAATACTGGATTGTTATGTTCAAGGAAATATTTGTCTTTACCTTATAGCTCTTTTCTTTTATCTCCTCTCCTATCTTCTGCCATTACTTAAGTACAACGTTCAATCTACCTTTTGTAAAAGGAAAGACCAATGCAGTAGAGAGTAGAGTGTTCTCAACAGCTCCAGTCTCATTGCTTTATACGCAGAAAACTATAAACTAATGATAAGTAATAACATGTTTCATAATTACATCTTAATATATTTAGAATCCAGTACTTTGATTCTTGTTTATACTAATATCAGCTTTTCTTGTCACAGGTATCTGGAGATGGAACTATCTGGTTGAGCACTTAGAAGAAAGAAACTTTCTTTTGTTTTTAACTTATTTCATAATTTTGGGAATGTAAAAACGTGTAAAAGTTCATTGATTAAGTTACATCACATCGATCGACCTCGCCTTTCAACTGTACTACATCACTTAGGTGTGTATATTTCTGTCACCAGGACAACGGTATTAGTAAACTACATAATGTATGCTTCAAACCAGTAGTCAGTAGTACTTTATACTTAAAGTGAATATTCATTACCAATTTTGTGGAATAAAAATGTCTTTATGTGCGACTCCAATTCTTTATTTAAACATGGGTGGGGAAATGTTATATGTCCTACGACAAAGATTAAAGGCACAGGGGATTAATGTTGATAAAACTATACAAGGCTAGTTTAGTACTATGCAGGAAAAAAAAATTCAGCCTGTTACTTCCAGTATATAATTTAGCTTCTTAATGTATATTTGAGTTGATATTACAAAATTTCTATTTTGTTTTTTAGTATTGGATGATGTGACCACTGCTTTACTTAATCCAAAAATACTGTCTTGTATATTTGAAGAAAAACCTTTGACTGAAATACCTGTCCTGAGGCCTACTTTAGAATGTGTTGTATTGTCTTCAATTATGAAGCTTGATAAAAATAGTATGAATAAATTATTTGATCTAATGATTATGATGGTCAAATATCAACTAACTGCAGCCACGGGCCCCGTAGAAGTTATCTTGTCAACACTAAATCACACGGATGCGATGCGTGATATGGTCAGTCATCCTGATGCTCAGCGTTGTGCGGGATTAGTACATCAGATGATAGTTGATGTAAGCAAGTTGTTACTTGATGAAATTATTTATGTATACTGATTTTTTCAAAACAATTTACTGATTATTTTACAGTTTTATGGCACTTTTACTTTGGAGGAAATTTGGAATGCCAGAAATTGTTGTCTGAAAGAATTAGAACCATATTGTATACGGGTGTCTATTCTTCTTAGACTTGGATTACAAAATGATGATGGTAGTTTCAATATAAAACATCACAAGTACAATGAAAAATATGAAGAAAATAAAGATCATTTTTCTAGCTTAAAACTATGTGATGTGGATCTTAAAACTTATTGCAATGATTCTTTTAATCTTTTTGGTGAACGCGGTACATTATTAGGAAAGAATATGTAAGTAAATAAAAGTAAATGTACTAAAAAATACTGACACGTTAAATACGTATTATATAGGTACTCAATGATGCACGACATATCAAAATTTACTTCTGAGCAAGAAAATGATAATTATTTAAAAGAGTGTGGTACAAGAGCAGAACTTGGTATGTTAGCTGTCCAACTGGGAACTGAAGAAGCTTCGTATAAACGTCCTTTTAGTTTGAATTTACTATCAAACGAAGATAATAACAATGCAAATGTAAAAAAAGAAGATGCTAATTCTAAAGAAGATAGTGAAGATGATACAACGATTATGAAACAGGAGAAAACGAAATTTAACGAGGATTATAAAACGAAACTTGATAGTATACGTGCAGATCTTTTTGAGGATGAACATGAAGGAATAAATCATAATATGGATTTATTAGAACTTCTAGACAAAACAGAATAATTTTTCTTAATTTATTTTCAAATTACACTAATAATTAAATAACAAATAAACAAAATATTCTTATACATTTTCTCTACAGTTATATAGCTGCTTTGTACATGATGGTACAATTTTTTATAATACACAAATTTATTATTCATGCAACATAAAGGAATATATTTAATATACTAATTCACTGATTAATTATTGATATTAATCAAAATAGCTGTTTTGTAATTATTTTAGCAACAACTTATGTAAATTTGCTATGTCTGATGTTACATTTATTATGTGTTGAATTTTCGATCGTGAGTTGTAATTAAGATATTAATTAATTATTTTAAGTTAGATTTTGAATTCAATTTTTCGCATTATAAAATACGTATTATAAAAATTACAAAGCCATTATTTTTTGGAAAAGATGCAATAGCTGTGTTAAGAAGTTATTAGATTCTTCTTTCTTTGAAAGAAGAATTTTATTCATTTTAAGGTTTGGTCAGATCCAAAATGTACTTTACCCCAGTTTTACCATTCACATTAAGTACATTTGTAACAGCTTCTTGATACTGGCAAAATGGAACCAATTTATGTGGTGGAGCTTTTAATTTTTTATCTCTGAATAATGCTCCTAATTCATTATACATATTTATCCGTTCTTGCGAATTCATATTTGCTTTTGTCCATGCTGTCATCCAAAATCCTTTTAAAGTAATGTCCTATTGATATTATGAAATCATTAAAAGAATGTTATCAATTATAACATTAAGTATTTTACAGGTTTTAGTTAACATATGGTACCTTGAAAATAAGTGCAGAAGTAGCAACTGTTAAAGGTTCTCTAGACATGCCACCGTAAGTTACCATAATTCCTCCATGTGGTAAATGGCGCATCACTTCCACTGCATTTTGCCCACATATACAGTTAAGAGCTAATTTTGGTGATGGTAACTTTTTGCTTTTAAAAATTTGAGTCTTTCTTATTTCGTCTTCAGTAAGTACTTCATCTGCACCCAAACTAATTAAGTAATCCTGAAAAATATTTAAAATTACAAACAATTACAAGTTCTACTTCTCAATCTATTTATACCTTCAACTCTTTTATGTCTGGCCTATCTCTAACAACATTAACAGATCTATAATTCCATGCTTTACACAACTGTATAACAATTTGCCCAACTGCAGAATTTCCACCATTCTGGATCACAGTGTCTCCAGGTACCAGTGGCACAAAATCTTTAAGCATTCTGTATGCAGTACATGGATTGACATTTAACATACTAGCTTCTACAGTGCCAACATCTTTTGGAACCTGAAATTATAATACAATTCGTTGTATTGTTATAGTAGATCTAGGTATGCTAACTTTATATTAAAACTTATTTTCCACCTTCAAAAGTTCTTCTGACTTGTAATTTGCATGAGTTCTCCAGGTCCCTAAATTCACACCATTTGGAATAACTTTATCACCAACATTTAAACCCTTCACGTCAGACCCAATGGCTATTATTTCACCTACTCCTTCATTTCCTGGAATAGCTGGTAAAGGTGGTTTACTTGGATATTTACCCTGTATGGTATTGATGTCTGCTGGATTAACAGGTGCTAATAACCATTTTACAGAAACCTTTAATAAGAACAATTTACATCATTAGTTATAATATAAAAAGGTATTATGTTGGCTTAATTATTATATTTAATTTGTTTACTTGGTTGCTTTCTGGTTGATTAATAGTTTGTGTTGTAAAATGTAAAACATCCACAGGTTCTCCATATTCCTTGTAAAACAACGATTTTACAGACTCCGTTTTTATAGCTGTATTCATTTGACGAGCTACTAACAAATTTTTTGCAATCGACCGTGATAACGGTAGAACTAATTTTTTTATACATATGACCATCTTTTTATTGGTTATATTTAATGAAGCTGATCTGATATTTATTGTAATGTTTAAAAAATAAGTGATTGCATACGCTTCTTTTAAATTTTAGGTCTTTCGAAGGGTTATGATAAGAATAATAGATACATATATATAATTATAAATTCGTATATAATGTAGATTTAAATTATTAAGTCTCACTTAACATATTATCACTAAAAGAAAGAAATTTATTGAAAATAAATGTCGAAAATACAATGTTAATCAATTTATAACGTTTGATTTCTCATTGACAGCACTTTACAGCTAATAACATTTATGTTCCTTAATTCAACAAATTGTATTTTTCAATTCCTCATTTGAATAAATATTTATTTTATTCATTTTTGCTAATGTTTTACAATTATGAAATTATGTTCAACGTCAAAATTACATAGTTTTAAATAATTATCAGTAATACCAAATGTATACAGGTGAATGTTCTTTCGAGTAAATAGGGAATTTAAACATACATATTTACAAAATGAAAATTAAAAACAATAAAATAAAATGTGATAATTTGTAATCTTGAGAAATAATCGCATTACTGATTAGGTGAAGAGGAAGTTTTAAATCAGTATGTAACTTCCTGATGTGAGTTTAACAACCTCTAACTTGTACAGTTACAGATGTTATATGACATTTTAATAGATGACATCATAAGTTTTATATTTTATGCGTAACAGTTTTGTATATTGTTATGTAAATAAAGATATAAGTACGTGTATTATTATAATACCCAGGTAATTTGTCTATGAATATTTGTAATCATTATATTTAAGCTATTATCATTTGTTATAACTATGTTATAGCCCTGTTTAAGATTACAAATAACTTAAAAGTGCTTATAAAATCAAGTGAATGAACAATGTAACTTGAGTTAACAGATATATCATTGTTATTATATTATGCTCTTTTGGAACTTATCTTTTCAGAAACTAGTAAAAATGATAGCATCAGAAGTAGGTTCAACAAATAATGAACCTGTGCAGATCAAGATTAATAGCGAAAAAGATCCACTCATTCATGGAAGAAGTGTTCTTTATAGATTAAGTAATTTCTTTAGGTTTGGAAGGGTACAGAATATAGAAGGGGATGGATATGTTGAATTTGGTAGCTTAGGTGCAGACAATGGTCGTACTTTAGGAACATTTGCTGGAGTATTTAGTCCTGTTGCTTTATCCATGTTCAGTGCCTTAGTTTTTATAAGAATGGGTAAGAACAAACATAATACTAAGTTATATGTAAAACTAAGCTCTACATATTGTATATTTAGACACTTATATATTATAAGTTATTATATGTTTTTATAATAATTTCATATTGTCTTTGTATTATAGGGTACATTGTAGGTAATGCTGGATTACTTGTAACTTTGACACAGTTCATAATTGCATATGGAATTTTAGTATTTACTGTAGCATCTGTATGTGCAATTTCAACAAATGGAGCAGTTGAAGGAGGTGGGGCATACTGTATCCTTTATTTCTAAAGTATTATTATTGTTTTCAGTAATTAGTAAAGTACCAAATTGATGAAGTACTTTTTCTGTATATCACAAAATCATTATGATGATAGTGATAATAAGACCTTGTGAAACCGTTTATGTATGATAATTTTTCTTAATAAACATTATATAGTTATGATCAGCCGTACACTTGGACCAGAATTTGGTGGTTCCATTGGGACATTATTTTTTATGGCTAATATTGTATCAAGTGCACTTTGTATATCTGGTTGTGCTGAAGGATTGATAGAAAATTTTGGGCCATCTGGTTATCTGGCTGGAAAAAGTGCTCTGATACCAGATGGTAGATGGTGGAGGTTTTTATATTGTTCTGTACTGAATACTGCCAATTTACTAGTATGTCTGATAGGAGCAGCAATGTTTGCGAAAACTAGTGTTGCAATTTTGGCTGTTGTTTGTGTTTGTTTGACAAGTGTTTTTATAAGCTTTTTAGCACAAGGATATATGGAGGTAATTATATAAATTGGAGAAACAATAGCTTATCAGTTGAAGACAGGGTAAATAATGTATCTTTTATTGTAGATACCAATTCCAGATGCAAATATATTGGTCCAAAATGCAACTTATCACGTTAATGGCACTTATACAGGACTATTATCATCTACCCTTATTAGTAATCTTTATTCAAATTATAGTCCTGATTATTCAAGTGGAGGAGTAATGACTGATTTTGCAAGTGTTTTTGGTGTACTGTTTAGCGGTGTTACCGGTATAATGGCTGGAGCTAACATGAGTGGTAAATATTTAAGAACAATAATGCATATTTATTTGTATTTACATTTAAATTATTAATATTTATAGGTGAATTAAAAAATCCCGGAAGAAACATTCCACGTGGCACTTTGTCGGCAGTATTATTTACATTTATCTGTTACATCTTATTATCTATTTTCACTGCTGCAACTACAAGTCGATTTTTATTGCAAAACAACTTTATGTACATGATGCCAATTAATATTTGGCCACCATTTGTAGCAGTTGGTATATTAACAGCAACATTTAGTGCAGGTTTAAGTAACTTAATAGGCTCAAGTAGAGTCTTAGAAGCACTGGCAAAGGATAATGTGTTTGGTAAATAATTAAAGTCTAAAGTTAAATAATCTTCTTTAAAACTTTTTAACTTTTTTAAAATCTAACATTCTTAATATTTACAGGATCTGGATTGAATTTTATTACACAAGGAACATGGAAAGGAAATCCAATTGCTGCAGTTTTTACATCATGGACCTTAGTTCAAATAATTTTACTTGTAGGTTCTTTGAATACTATTGCTCAGATTAATTCGGTATTATTTTTATTAAGTTACTTGGCTACCAATTTGGCTTGTCTTGGACTTGAACTTGCAAGTGCTCCAAACTTCAGGTATTCTTTAATTCGAATTTATGTTATTCAAAGAAATCAGTATAAAAGTTGAAACAAAACGATTTAAATGTTTTTATTTTTTACAGACCAACATTTAATTATTTTACATGGTATACAGCAACGATCGGACTTCTTGGTACATTGATAATGATGTTTGTCATAAATAGTATCTACGCTTCCAGTAGTGTAATATTGTGCTTAATATTAATCATTGTGCTGCATTTATTTTCTCCAAGCAAAAATGCCCCCTGGGGAAGCATATCACAAGCACTTATATTCCACCAAGTTAGAAAGTATTTATTAATGTTAGATTCTCGTAAAGATCATGTGAAATTTTGGCGACCGCAAATGCTTCTAATGGTAGCTTCTCCGCGATCAGCGTGTCCACTTATTGATTTTGTAAATGATTTGAAAAAAGGAGGACTATACGTAATTGGACATGTAAAAGTCGGAGAATTTTTAGGTCAAAATATTGATCCCACTATAGAAGAATACCCGCATTGGTTGAGTTTAGTTGATCATATGAAAGTTAAAGCATTTGTCGAACTAACAATTACAAAAACCGTACGCGAAGGATTACATCATTTAATTAGAATATCTGGAATGGGAGCGATGAAACCAAATACAATTGTTCTTGGTTTTTACGACGAAGAAGCTCCGGTAGACTTCTTTAAAAATTCTCCATATGCGACAGACTTATTTGAAAATGTCTCAGCATTACCAAATAGCAATGTATTTCCGTTGAGACAAACAAATGCAGAAAAATTTTTAGATCCTATACAATATGTGGGGATGTGTTCAGACGTTTTGAAAATGAAGAAAAATTTATGCTTATGCAGAAATTTCCATATGTTAAATAAATCGCAAATAACAAAGTGAGTATACAATTGATATATAATTATATTGATTTTTTTTCTATAAATAAATTCTTTATTACAGGAATTCTTCCTTGAAATATATTGACGTATGGCCTGTGAACTTTTTCCAACCAACAGATCAAGATCCATTCGATACAACATCATTGTTTATGCTTCAACTTGCATGTATCATTAATATGGTACCCGTTTGGAAAAATTTGCATCTTAGAGTATTTCATTGTGAAATTTCAGATAGCAATGCAAGTTTGAGTATTTCAGACTCGCAAAATTCGATTAGCGAACATCCAAAAATATCTAACGAGCATCGCATTAAAAAGTTGTTAAATATGTTGAGAATATCTGCATCTATCAAGAAAATTCCTGATTGGGGAACACAAGTACGTGGGTTACAAGGTAGATCACTTATGGAATCAAGTGTGGAAAATCAATATGAATCAAGCACTGAAAGCAATGAAAACGTATTAAGCAACATATCACGTACTTATATTTTAAGGTACTTGTTTAAACATATTAATTACTGTATAAATTTAAACATAAGTACATATTACTTTGTAATTTTATAATTATATTTTTTAGTGTAAATCAATTAATTCGGCAACATTCTTCTCAAACTGCGACAACGTTTATTTATTTACCTGCTCCACCAGCATCAAATAGCTGGGATGAAAATACAATGTATCGGCAATACCTTCAATTGTTGACAGAATTAACGGCAGATTTACCACCTATAGTATTAGTACACGGTGTTAGTGCTGTTACATCAACAACATTATAACGATATGTATATGTATATACATACATATAATTTTACAAAAGAAAGTATTATTTAGTGATTAATTTATGTGGCTGTAAGTTATTATTATGTGATTTATGCTTTTAATTGTTAAATGCATTGACATCTAAATCAAAAAAATATTAGGAATATTTGATTTTACAGTTCTTTTTTATTACCAAGCTTGACTTAATAATTCAACAATAATAATGCTTTCTTATTGTAATAAGACAATTTTAATCTTATATCAAATATATAGTTTATTACTGTGATAACGAACTTATCCTATAAGAGATTCCCAGAAGTACATATTTTTTAAATACATAATATATATTTACTGAAGCACATGTAAACTGTATCCTAACACACTCATACATGAAACTATTTCTATACCAGTTTTTTGTATCACATTTAATAGCAAAATAAAGTTGTTAGATGTAGTAAAAGCGAATGTGAGATTAAATTCTTTAATAGTACATCTAACTAAAAAATATAAAGAGTTATAATATTGCAAGGTGAAGTAGCAGCATTTGATAGAATTAAAATACTGTCATAATTTATTAAATATTTATTGTTAAATTGTGTTTGAATAAAATTTTTTGACTTGATTTGTGGCGCCATCTGTCATTGGCGGTTGAAGTAGTACTTCCGGATATTGCTTTATAAAATAAATTGTCATTTTTAATGTTTTATAGCATAATTTATCATAGTTATCTTAATTCTATTTAAAACATGTAACATTCTACCATCTTTTATAATCATCATAAAAAAAGTCTGTGATAAAAAGTAAGATTCTCATATTCGGGTAAGAAAGGTTGCATTCCTTTCCACGGTATATGTATATTTCTAAATTTTGATTTGCTACATTTCAAATTCTATAAAACTACTAAGCAATTTTATGACACAATATAACAATAATTTCGATAACATTAAATTATAACTGTTTTCATGGTTTATATGTGTTGCTTCAATATTTAGGTATTAATAAATCATTCAGTATTGTTGTGAATCTTTTATAAATTTCAAGGCAAAAATAATTTATTGTAATAATTGTAAAATTTTAATGGTATCTTTATATGGTATTTTAATTTGATGTTATTAATTGTTTAGGAAAGAAAAATCATAGTAGTAGAATTTAAATCTCCCCCCCCCCCCCCCCGGCGGGAACTATTCTTCAGTCGTTCGCTGGACGCTGAAGTGTAAACATTCCGTGTTAACGTCTTTCGCATCAAGGTACATAAATGATAATTATTCTTACCAAATTCCATTTACTCATTATTACAATGTTAATTAACTTCCATTAGTTGTTTTTCTTCAATATTTAAGGATTTTTATTAATTACTATTTTACTTTAACGAAAATAAAATTGACCTCTTCGACTTTCTACGCTGTACATTTAGTTCCGATTACTCTATATATGGACATTTTTGGACTAAATTTTTATTGTTATATAATTGCTACATAACGAATTACAATTTGATTATAGTACAGCTGTATTTATTGCATCGCATTGCTTTAAATTTGCATTTTATATATGTTTCAGATCAGTGATTGAAAATCGAATGAAAGTGACGCGCCAGCGACCGCCATGACACTTGGCGATCAGTTACTTGAGCTTCGCACGGTTAGATGACGCCATTAGTCCACTTCAGAGTTTAAAACGAGAAAGAACAGGTCAAATTTCAAAATCTATTATAAACATTGAACAACAATATACATATTCACTATCCTGTCACTAAATTATAATTGAATCGTTGTTAATCATAGAAATGGCACATAATTTAATATGTATCGATACAATTTAATTTGTCTAAAATTCACTTCTTTACTGTTACAGATTTTTTGTGACACAATGGAGTATTGTCATCGTTGGAGTGTTCTTCCAAGGTTCGCAAAGTCATACAGGGTTTTCCAAGGTTCTTCAAGGTTCTGTAAGGTCATCCAGGATTCTCCATGGTTCTCCAAGGCCGTCTATTCTCTTGCAGGGTGCACTCATTCTCTACATTCGGTGAGTCGCATGTTTTTTTATTCCTCTGGTCTCTCATGTCGTAGGACGAATGGTCCAAATCGGCATGGGTGACTGGTTGTATACGTGATTTTTAGCGAGCATAGTGACCACAGGTGTACTTATACCTGTGAGTAGTAACTATTTTCTGTGTTTTATTTCTCACTTCAGGCTAGGGTCTTCTTGTACTTATAAATTTTTTATAATACAATTAAATATTAGCAATCTGTTAATGTGTAACAATTATTAATAATTAAAATTGAGTGTTTGCTATTTGAATATATACCAATAACATTATAATAATTACGTGTTCAAAAGTGATTGAATAATTTATGTTAATTAATTATGTACAAGAAAACATTTTACAACGAGTAAATTCCGAAATCAAAGTAAAGAGATTAAATATAGTTTTGACTGTTTAGAAAATTTTCTTTGATAATGGAATCACTCGAAGATTATTTAACCAGCTTTTCTTTATAAATTAAATTCTTTTTTGCTTAGAATTCTTAACTCAATTTCAAATTTAGATCATTCAAGATAACATTTTTTCAATGTTCTAATACTTAAATTCAGATGCAAAGCAATGGTGGCTGTCACTTGCCAATCGATTCCAGGAAAATGGTACGTACACTTATGGTATGCAAGGTGTGTGTTAAGCTTGGATGTCGGAGGCGTCCCGGGGCGTTCTCCCTAGTGTAGGCTTTTTGCGTCCAATCAGTGTGCATGAGAATCGTTTAATGAATGTGTTGGTGCGAATGATTTTCGTCAATTTTTTAAATATAGCTTTAGGTAGGCAGGTAGTTTACCTTCTGGTATGTGTGTGTTTAGTTCTAAGTAGGTAAAACTGAGATGAAAAATTAAAAATAAAACTGGTGCAAATGGAACTTATCATTTCCTTCTGGCTTTATCTTTGAATTTTTCAAATTCGAAGACATTTTAAGTCACGACGATACGGTTGAAACGAATATTCTGCTCGAGATTAGTTGTTCTTTGATGTACTTGGCGATTCTTTTTCTTGTTTTGTGTCTCGTGTCGTCGTTGAGGAAATCTCGAGCACTTAGGCTTAAGTTTCAGCGGGCATTGCGCCCGAAGAGAGAAGAGGCTATATGCCGAAGAGGCCCGGCAATTTGCCATTGAAGAGGGCAACTACTAATGGCTTGCCATCCGAGGATGGAAAGTCATTTTTGTTACTACTTTGTCACTGTGCTCGCTTTGTAGTTGTAGTAGTAGTAGATTTTCAGCTGCTGATCTTTGATGCTGGGCGAATCGCGGTTTTAATTAGTGTTGCGAATTTTAAATATACGCGTTGTCATTTTTTTTTTTAAATATAAAATAGAGTTTCGATTTGTGAGTATTAATTGATTATGATTGCCTTACAATTAGTGTCGCGAATAAATACTAACGCGTTCTCTGTTAAATTGTTAATTTTATAATTTCTAATATTACTATTTAATAGTGTCTAATTTATTGAATTGCTAATTAAATTTTTTTTGAAAATAGTTTTGCGAATTACGAATACGCGATTGTTTTGCAGTAGTATAACTTTTTGATTAGTGTTGCGTTATTTCATAGAATGCCCAACATTTTCCACTGGGATCAAGAAGAAGCTTTATAGCTGGTATATTGCAGCTTTGAATTGTCTGCACGTATTACAAACTATACGGGTATACAGTATTTGAATAGCATTACGTATCATCAAATACGGCTGATAGTATTTTAATAGTGTTGCGTACAATAAAGCTTTTGATCTGATTATTTTATGAAATTTTGAACTTAAATCAGTATTGCAAATAATAGAGATTAATTAATTAAAAAGTTTTTAAATTAATAATTCAGTGTTATGTTTTTTCATTTATTAATAATATCACGGTCTTTGCATTGATTTAACAGTAAATAAAACAACAATTTGTAGGAGGCTATATAGAGCGGAAATAAAGTAATGATTTCGGAGCGTTAATGGTATTACCGATTTAGCTTTTATTTGTACTATTCGACACCGCGGTCGTCAGGGAACTGAACTGCTCACCGTGTCCGTACATTTGTACGAACAACCTTACGCGGGGACACGAGGGGCAAGATGTCAACAAACATAAATCGAACATAGACACATATACATATATACATATACACGTACAGCCGCTAATGGCTGTCCATAGCCGATATTCGAATATCGTATGCCTACAAATTCTAAATTTATTTTGAACACACTTCTGATTAAATTAATTCGAGGAGAAAATATGATTTGTCTTTTAAAAAGAACGGTTTTCAAATTTGTGTTTGTGTTAATCTAACTTTACATTTCAACGAAGAAGAAACTTGAACGATCAATCGGAAGCAATCCTCAAATAACGATACAACACGCTCTTAAAAAGGCTATTTCTTTAGGTAATATCACGTAAAACTTTTCTGTTTGGAAAAAGAAAATAACCGAGTAAGCTTTGCGAATCGAATCGTCGCGATCATTAGTCATTCGCACGTTCGCAGGTTCCCATCGATGGGTTCTTGATTGATTGTCCGCCAGACAGAAATTGAATACTGAAGTCAAATTAATGGTAGGCTGACGTAGGTCGAAGTACTTTGATCGAGGAATTTGGTTTATAGTCAGAAACAAAGCTTGTTTCCAAAACGTCCTAACTTGATGATGTATTAACACTGTTGTAGGCACAAATTAATTAATCCTTCATCGGAGAAATTTGGCGTTTTCGAAGTTAACACGAACAGAAAATACGTTCGATCAATTTGAAATTTGATCATTGAAAAAATAGACAAAAATTACTTCAATATTAAATGATTTTTAAAAATATTCATTAGTATAATTACTTTTGTCCAAAATGAAATAGAGTGTGTTTAAAAATTGTTAATTCTTTTTTTAATAGAAATTTGTAAATTTTCTGAATTTTCACAAAAATTCTTGTCGTTTCGTTGACAAATTCGATCTTTTGACTCCTATTCCCACCCCAGTGGTTCTTTTAACTTCCTACCTTTCGTCTCCAAGAAACAAATAAATAAGTTGAGACTATCTGACCTCATCGTAGGTCTACTGGGAGGTTAATATGCACTCCATCCAATCTCGCCGACTCGGTTTCCAACGGAGTGAATCCCCCGTCGAGTTCCTTTTATCTTCAGACGTATCTGACTCACCTCCACAGTTTCTTGCTTCGCTTTTCCGTTTCCACTTTCTCATACGTTTTTCTCCCCTTTCCAACGAGAACATTTTGTTCATCCTTGTACCTTTTTATTTTTTCACAACGAGCCGAAGTTGAACAGTTTTATACAAAATTAATCAAGTTTCCTGTTCAACTGAAACGACTGATGGAATAAAATGCATGGTATTTTTTTGTTTATCATTCTTTCTCTGCACGCTTGATTTGTTTGAAGTATTCCGAATGAAGATCGATTTGCAACCAGCTGGAGCACTTCATTCAATCGAAATTTTCATTACGAGT